ATGGAAGGGAAAAGAGCGAGCGGAAGATCTGGCACATGTTGTTTCCCTTGCCAAACAAAAGCAGCTGAGATATCCAGAAATCTTCGCTTAAATTCTTCGCTCTTTCCGCCCGATTTCATTTTCCTTTTAATATGATTTTCCCGCCTGCTTTTCCTGCTGCTCTCCTCCACTCAATGCAAAGCTTTCCCGATTTGATTTTCGTTAGCCATAAAAGTAGAACGCGCTCAACATTTTCTGGCTCTGGCTTTCTGGCTTGCTTTCATTTTTCATCAAACTCGCATTATAGTCGACAACTTTTTTCTGTTTTCTGTATTTTTTTTGTGTATTTTTTTGTTTGTTGGCTACAATTTGCCATTACGCCGATTTATGCGCTGTGGGGCCAAAGGAGCAGAGTGGCAGCAGCAGCAGCAGCAGCAGCTGGGAAATGCTGCTCCCTGCTTCATCCCCGTGCGCTAAATAATGCACTTGGGAAATTAATTTTCCAGCTCTGGCTGAGCATTGGAGGGGGAGCCCCGAACGTCTTCAGATGCATTAAGTCATAATTTTCGAGATTCTGTGATGGGATATAAAGATACATGCGAGGGAGAGGGAGACAGCAGGACCCACACGGATTGAGAAAAGTTGTTTCAGAATAAATTAATTTAATTGCTGTTCGACTCCTCGCACTGGAACAGCAGCTTCAATTAGCAGAAGTCTTTGAAGAACTCGACTCTGCCTCGCTCTCGCTCCAGCAGGAGCAGCTATCCACTAATTATGTTGTTTGTGCATTGGTTTTGGATAGCAATGCGAGGCAGGCAGCAGGCAGCAGACAGCAGGCAACCAACAGACATGAACATCAGCATCAGCTCTTACCGAAGGGCCAAAAGGCTACAAGTTTATGCCATTTTCCAACATGTTTGCCAGGTTGGCTGTTCTCGTTTGCTCGGCTCCCAGAGCTCCTGGCACTGGCACTGGCGCTGGCGCTGGCGTGGCTCCGAGCATGTTAACCAGGCCCCACAAATGAAAGGCAGAAAGGCAGCCAAGAAGAACAGCCAACAGTAAAAGCAACAAAAGCCGCCTACAGAGGCGGATAAGTAAACATAAAGCAGCAGCAACAACAGCAACAACAGCAGTAAAAGGAAAAGCGAGCAGAAAAAACAAAAGAGAAAATGGAAAAGCCAAGCAAGGCGAAAGCCGTTATGTTTATTATGCCAGGCATGTGAGTTAATTCTTTGAACTGTTGAGGTTGTTCTTGTTATTATAGCAGCTCTCTCTCTCTCTCTATCTCTCTCTCTATCTCTCTCTGTGTTGTTCTCCCAGGAAAAACCACGAATATTCCCAAATATCTCTCACTCCCTTGCCTGCCTGCCTGGCTTCTGCACCTCCCATACGGGAGTACAGCATAGTTGCTTCAGTTGATCATTATTTTTATTTCAGTCGCGTGCCTGTAACACAAAAATATTTGATATAGATGTTGCCTCACAGCACACACACACACACACACACACACAGCACACACAGACACACCGTATAGATAAGGTGCCAGAATATCATAGAAGGAGCGAAACGAAAAGAAAAGCGAAGCGAAGGGAGCAAAAAGCAGAAGGAAACTTGTGCCAAAAGTGTTGCATACTTAGAAGGGCCATAATCTTGACTGGGAATGTGGTGCGGGTGCGGTGGATGGGGGGTGTGCGTGCGGGGTTGGCATCTAAGGTGGAGATTGTGGTGGTGCGTGAAGTACATGGGAAAACTATTTAGTTAGTTAGCAAAGTCGAACTACGTAAACTTCAATTTAGTTTCAAGTCTTAGGGAAAAACTTGTGTGAATTTCGAGTGGATTAAACCAAGAAAATTTGAATGGGAAGCATAGCAGCGTAAGTTTAAGATATTTCAAGGATACAAGTAATTTATTATTAGCCATCATTATGGGATTTGTCCTTGATACAACTTAAACATAAACCATAAACTCTTGAAATTGCAATCAATTTTTTTTTGGGGTTATTCCCCTTAAAGTCACAAAGCGATAACGCGTCTCTCAAGTGAGATAAAATCCGCACAGCCAATTGATAGCATGCCGCATTATGCTTAGTTATGCCCAGAACCTAATTACAGCCTCGACGATAAGACATTACTTCTCATCCAACGCTTAGCAGCAACCCTTGTATTTGCCTGAATTTCCACGCTAACGACTGCATCATTAACCCCCACACACACACACACAGCCAGGCACAGCCAGACTCCTGCGCTCCTCGAAGGAGCAGTCTCCATCTCAAGGAGTATCTCATTAGCCCCAGCAGCCAAGTCGAATTATCGACACCGAACTCGTTTCGAAACGAGCGCCGAACCAGCCAAAAATTCAGACTAAAAGATACATTTAATTTTATTTATAACGCACGCATGGACAGGCAGTCCGGAGGAGAAAACCACTCGACTGGATTCCCGACTGTTATAAAAGCATAAATATTAATGCACTCACTGGTTATCGGGGCTGGGGGGTAGATGGGTGGATGAGAATGTCCTGAGCACTAACCTGGCGTACCGGCGCGGCGAGCAAACTTATTGGCTTATTAAAGCCTAATGCTGCTCCTACTTCGGGGTCTGGGTGTGGTGTGTGTGATAATGGAGCCAAACAACACCTCAGACAGGACATGGCCCATTTAAGCACACGCCCACATGCTCCACCAGCTGCTCTACCCCCCCCTTTCCTAATTGTCTCACCTTTCCCATGAAGGCAAGTTCAACGCCGCATATTAATGCCAGAATTTCCAGAGCGCCTACCGCTATTCAATATCCATGTGGCAACCTTATAAATATCGCCCCAAGAAAGCAAAATAAAAAGCCAAGAACGTGGGATGGCCGGCCAGTGGGCGAAAACTTTTGCCCTGGCAAAGTTTTGGGGGCCTCTGGAAATGGTCAAAACTGTTTAAGCCATGGCCAATATTGGGCATTAAGTAGGCTTTGATGAGCAATCCCCATGAATAAGAAAGCAGATGTCCCGCTCTCCGGTCTCTGCTCTTCCCGTAGCTCACTTTTATGATGTTCAAAAAAAAATCAAGCCAATAAAGTTCCATGCCCCATGCCCCATACTCCCAGCCCCCTGCCAAATAGTGGATGTGGCACGCTGGGGCTCTGCTCCGAGAACTTTTCAACTCAATTTTCTCCTCTTCAGCATTTTTCGTTGTTATATATTTTTGTTGGCAATTTTTTAAATATTTATGCTACAACGATGTGCTTAAATTTATGAATTTGCCAAAGTATTTAGTCAATAGCTTAGCAAAAAAAAAAAAAAAAAAAACAAGAACACACAAAAATGAGTGCAAAAAACAAAAAAGTTTCGCCTCCTGCTGCATATTTTATGCTGCCATCCTTATCGATGTAAGTGGGAAATATTTATGAGCGTCCAGCGTCCTGAATTTATGTCCAAAGTTTTTCTGCTGCCAAGAGGTCCACGTTATGAAATCTTAATGGATGGCAAACTATTTTAGTTTGCTCTCCGTGCAAACCAGCTCTGTCTACTTTGTCAACCGTTCAATTAATACCTTCAACATGGCATTAACAGGTCAATGCCAATCCAATTCAATTCGTTTTTCCATTAGCGAAAAATACTATTTTTTTTCTTTGCAGCAAAAAGGTAATTTAATTTGTTTCATCAAATGTCAAAGAGACAGGACAGAGCCAGCCAACCCAGCCCAGCCCAGCCAGCAGGCAAGGCCTGCAAATTGTGCATGTAAAACAAACAAATTCAATCCAATCCAATCCGCAAGGATAACGAAACGAAGCAAAAGTAGGGCCCAACTAAAAAACAAAATTCAATTAAATTAATGACGGCTTACTTTGATGTTGACACCAAAAAACAAATGCCATTCCCCAAAGCGGCAGAGGGAGCTTCCTTTTGCAATTGAAATAATTTTAAATGGAGCACTATATGGAGCGCCCATAGAGGTAGAGATATGTAGGAGGCTGCTGTCCTGCTGCGAGTGCAACTGAGGAGAGAGCCAGCTATGGACATTGTTTCTAGTCCCCAGAATCCGAACACCAGCAGAACCCATTTGAAGCTGCTCGGCAATTTCCGCTCCAAATGCTCGCCTCGGCAGGGGAAATTATTAAAAGCGAAAACGAGCGCGCTATTATATTTTTGACACTGATAAATTTACAGAACGAGCGGGGCCAGTGCCAGTGGCGGCAGTGGCGGTAGTGGCAGAGCCGGAGTCAGACCTTGGAGTGCTCCTCCAGAATGTGGCGGATATGGATGCGAAGGGAGCGCTGTAGAGTGGACGCCTTCATGGCGGCTAACGGGGAAGTAATATAAATCGGACCCTGGGGATAAATAAGTTTGTGTTAGTTATGACATCCTATGTGTGTGTGTGTGTACGTGTTTCTCTATCTGTGTGTGTGGTAAATGCATTTTGCTTTGCTTGTGCGGCTTTCATAATTGTTGTTGGCCAGCATTTCTTTATGGCCAACATAATTATGCAAATTAATATTATGCAAATATGCAACAGCATAGCAACAGCAGCAGCAGTACACAAAAACACTGCCAAAAGTTATACTCGTATCAACTCAAAATTTATTTAAATTAAATTCAACCAAATTTGTCAGCCATCTAAGCAATTTGTTGTCGCATTTATGATTGAATGAAGAAGGCAGATAAAACTCGAGTCAGATAAAATGAGTAAATTAATTAGTCAAAATGGAAAGCCAAGGGAATATTTGAGTGAGATTGGTAAATGTGTAGACTATAAGTAAATTGGCAAAATATCAATCAAAGTGGGAACGAAGCTATTAAAATTTGTACAAATATTGATGCTATTGAAATGAATGATGGTAAATAAATGTAATGCTTTGCTATTGGAAATTGTATAAAGTCAAAACCCCTAAAGATATTCCACTGCCATGTTCAATTGAATATTCTACTTCAGTTGCAAGACATTTCAAAAAGGAATCCCAGAGCGATTTTCTCTAAGACCCTTTCCACAAAAATAAAGGAAATCATTAACGGATTACTTACTTTTTCCATTACAGATCCCACAACCAGCTCTCGGATCCAACTCAAACTGATTTTGCAGTCACTTTCGGTGTGGGATTCAGGAGTCAGCGACAGAGCGACGGAGGTACGTAAATAAGTCAGAATGCACTCGAAATGCGTTTGGCCATAAATAAAAATAATAATACCTAAAAAAACAGACCCAGAAGGAGAGAGGGTTTCTCTCTAAGCCACAGCCACAAAAGATGCCAAAGCCATAGAAGAAAATGACAAAAAAAAAAAATATAAAAGAAAACAAAAAATATAAGTGCTAAACTTTTGGTGCTGACTGTCAGAGGCAGAGTCAGAGGGTCAGGGCAAAACATGCAAAACTCGGACCGCGTACCGCACTGTTAGTGAAGCGAAAGCCACGCCCACAGCAAAAGCTATATATATATGTATATATAGAAAATATAGAGGGGGAAGTTTCCAGAGCATATCCATGTTAAATTCTTCGAGCAAACGTCGCGCATTGTTTGACCTGAACTATTCTGTAAGTTATTTCTTTGTTTTAAGTCACGCGCGGCGTTGTGAAGATTTTTTTACCAACGTACCGTGTACTTCGAGGAAAACATGGGGTAGGCTGGAGTCATTTAAAAGAGTCCCCACATTTATATAATAATGCCGATCTAGCAGCATCAATCACGCTCAGCCAACCAGAAAACTGTTAAACAGTTTCTATTGTGAAAGTAAGTTTAAAAAAGGTTCTTAAAATGTTAGATGTAGATGACAGATGTAGCAAAAAAATGTAAAATGTAAAATCACAGCTCACAAATTTATATACTGACTGAGTACGGGTATAAAAGTAGAGTCGCGTCCAAAGAAGCGACTCACGCGTTCCTTCTCGTTTTCTCTTTTGTTTGACCCAAACACACTCACACATAATACATGTCGTACACATATACAATTATACATATATGTATGTGTACGCACAATTTTCAAGCGCGACTTTTTGCAAATTTGTAGCCAAAAGCAGGAAACCCTTTTCTTTCGGTTCTTTCGTGGGTAGTCTGTCGGGGAGGGGGGGACATGCTTAAGCTCAGGCTTTATGAGGCCACTAAAAAGGGGGAAGTGAAGCACAAGGAAAGCCAGGAAGGGCAGGAAGCACTACAGCAATATATTAGAGTGTGTTGGTGTGTGTGTTAGTGTGAGTGTATGGTATCTGTGTAAGTATTGCTGGGTGTTAAGTCAGCTAAAAGCCTTTGGTCCAACCACTTGAATTTTTGGGATGCAGCGTAACTTTTTAGAAGCGGATGCAAGCAGAATTACTGAAGAGTGAGAGAAGGAGAGATATGGGCATGCTGGGAGGAAGTTAGAAAATGGGTGGTGGGGTGGGGGGGGGGGTGCACAAAGCCAGATGACTCTACGGGGGCTATGTGGGCTGAATGGGGAACGGGGGATCTGTGCTCTCGAAAAAGTTTTATGTGAGCGCCAAAAGTGCAGTCAACGCACTTTGGGGCCAAGTCGAAAAATATGAGTTGCGAATGGGATTGCTAAATGGCCAAAGGCTGAATCGGAGCAGGAGGAGGAGGAGGAAAGGATGAGGCTGCAAAAGTTTTGCTTTTAATAAATGTGGCAGCTTAGCCAAATGCAACTGACTGGCAAATATATATAAATTCTCTAATAAGGCGAAATGTGGCGAAAATTTGTTGAAATTGATTAAATGTTTGACCCGGGAGTTTTGCCCTTGAAGGATATAGAATTGAGTGAGAGGGAGAGGGATATTTCCGCACTACGAAATGCCAGCTTAAATCAAAATATTAAATGCAGCTTTTGCCTATTATTAAAACACTTTCAACACTTGTTGGCTCTGAAATGTTGTCGATTAATTGACTATTGTTTCCATAGCCCAAATGACATGTGTTGTATTTTTTTACAGCATTTTCATGTTTTAGATATATGCATTTTCAATTGTTTCCCCATAAATCATTTGTTTGCTGTGCATTGTGATAATTTCTTGATAATTTCACACCTCTGTAAATCCACTGACATAACAACAAAATAGCGAAAATTAAGCTGCAATTAATTAATTGAAGTTGAGAGCATAAAAATGGAACACAACACAACACAATACTGTCAAGTGTTAATTTTAAATTTAAGACCAAAATCCCAGCTGAAAACCTAACCATCCGTGACACCATAATATCGTTTTTATTCCCTTTTTTTTCTTTGTTGCTTGTTTGATAGAAGCAGACTGTTACAATATTTGGTTAACTTTACAACCTTTTGATATACGCATATTTTTATTTGTTTAACACATTTTACTATCTATCTATCTATCTATCTCTTTCGTTCTTTCTAACTAGATTTTTTTTTTTGCTGCGCTGAAATGATTTATTGCGTAAATTTCATTAATTTGCTGCGCTGTCATAAAAACGACAGCAGCGCCCAAAGAGATGGAAAAAAAGTTAAATAAAATAAATTTGATTTGTTCATGTCGGCATGTGTGTGTGTGTGTTGTACGTGTATGTGTATGCGTGTTAAACAAATTTTTATGGGCCACCTACTGGTGCCGTACACACACTCGAAATGGTATTTATGACCCCGCCGCCAGAGAACTCATTATACGATCCTCGTCCTCGTTCTCGTCCTCGTGCCTGGTACGCCGCCTCGTTTGCCGTTTGGCAATTGGAATTTTAAAATATATATTTTATGCTCGCATGTCGCGTCTCGCTTCTGAGGCTGCTTTACAATGTCAAGAACACATGTTCGGGGCTTTTGGTTAACGCTACGTGTCAAAAATTAAAAATTACACTCCTTGCCCCTGCCCCTGTTCCATTCTGATCTCTTCATCAACTCTGCCCAGTTTTACAGCAGTACCAGCAGTTCCCCCAGTTCATTGGACTACTTCTCCTGCTTGCTGCGTGCGTATTTGGTTACTGTCGTGTAGGCTCCTCGTGCATATAAATCCAACCCGTAATAGATCGTGTCTAATTTATGAGTTACGCGAGTATTACAACAACTTATTACGAGGCACTCACACACGCTCACACACACACACATTTACGAGTATAGAGAAAGACACATACGAGCAAAGACGTGGGCGCTGTGAAAATTCTGGTTTTTATACCCTTTTTGGAGAAGGCGTTTTGATTTGGAAGAGATGTTTGTTTGCTATTAAATCTGTACCCATAGAGCGCTATTTTTATATCTGCTATATTTCTATACTATGGCCATATTGCCAAAATATCAGAATTTTCCGCTCTATACTTATTTGCATATATCATTTAAATCAAATTAATTTATTTATATTTATTTTTATTATTTATTTATTTATTTTATTTATTTATTATTTATATTAGACCTATCCATCAGTGTATTTATAGCTTCGGTATACAAACCTAACATTTCCTTTGTGGTGTTTTTTTTTGTGTCTTGTCTTCTAATTTACGCCTTGCGTGCTCTTTCGACCAAAACTCTTGGCCCGGCTCGAGCATTTTCCATTAAGTCTGCAGCTGCTTTACTCATAATTCATGCCACCCACATACTCACACACACACACACACTCAAACACTCAAACACTGAAACACACATACAGATACGCACAGAGAGACAGTCACAGATTGGGGGCATGTTAATTTGTAGGCCAACCAGTGCAGGCGGAAGTCCTTTTTGAGGTCTTTAAACGCAAATGAAAGGAAAGCTGAAGCTTTTACTGCCTGCCAGGAACGCCATGTATCACTTGTGGATGTCTCTCAGTCTCTCAGCCTCCCTCTCCCTCTCCCTCTCCCTCTGCCTATCCCTTTTGGCTCTTTGTGCGTGTTGCTCTAAATTAGATTTTCATTTGTGCATGTCATTGTCCTTTTGGGGTGCTCTAAGCTAGTTAGGGTCGCTCCCCCACCCCCCCCATTTAGCCTTTACGACCTGCACATAAAACCCTTTTTGGGGTAAAGTGCTACAGAAAGGACCAAGCCCCAAAATCAATGCCAAAATGAATCAGTTCCAGTCAAACTGAAACTCTCATAAAGTCCACAAAAAAAAAAAACCAAAGCTATTTATGTGTCATATGTGGCAATGATTCCTCAACTAAAACTCACCAACAGACTTTCTTTACAGTTTACAATTTTATTTTGTTGGTTTGGTCCCGACAACAACATTTTGGTAATCTTTGAAATATTTTCAAAAGAATGCAACTCTGAGTGCGAGTATTTTGCCGAGCACTCAACAGTTTTGCCAACTGCCAAAGAATGCAAAACAATTAACTCATTACGGGCGCTCATTAGGCGGCACAAGTTGATTAAAGCCTTCAAAAACTTTTGCCAAAAAGAATGTTTCAGACACTCGAACAAAACAGCCCTTAACAGACGACACCTCCCCCGCCCCCCCCTGCACCACTGCAGCCTCCCCCCGGCAGTGTGGACTTGTGACAAGTGAAGTGCCACTCGAAATATGCCCAAGATAAAAATGTTTGCTGGTGTTTGCCGGCTGCCGCTGTCGACAGGCGAACACACAAAAGTTGGGGCGGTGGGCGGAAAACTTCTTTAAAATACTTAAGAAGCGATAAATATCCTCAGATACATAACACACACACACACATACACACATACGTTGGCAAGAGGGAGGGAGGGGTAGGGCATGGCAACGGTTTTGACTCTTGAAACTTTTGCCTTAAGTTGCGCCTATTTGTTACTCTTCATTGGCGGCTTCTGCCACACCATATTTACACCGATATATGTATGTATGTGCATCCCACTGATGCCACCAAATCGGTGAAACTTCCACTTGTTGTTGTTGCCTTTTCTCATTATCTTTTAACGTTATTATTACACGCGCGAGAGAGAGAGAGGGGGGGGAGCTAAGCCATAGCTCCCATGCCATGGCATTCCCCCCTGCTTTCTATTCCCCCCCCATTCCCTGGGTTCTTTCTACATGGACAAATTCCTTATTCCGCTGGCTGTTTGCTTGATTATTATATTTGTTTTCTGGCGCATTTTGTTTTCGTTTCGCCGGCTTTTGCTTATTAAAAAGTTGCCCATCGATTATGCGAAAAGTTTGACATCGAAATATTAGAAAACAAAATGCCGAACAAATAAACGGTTGGTTGCCTAGCTAGCATAAGGCATAGGGCAAAATAAAATGGGCTCTGTGGTGGGTGGGTTGGGGGTCTCAGGAAAAACTTGGATTGAATGAGAGATCAAAAGTACAATAACTTTTGGAGCACGCGCTGGCCAAAAAATGAACAGACAGATTGAGAAGGTGTCGCGAATAATTAGGAAAACTTTGCAATTGCTGAGAGAAATCTGGTTAATATTATTGCACATAAAAATGTGTGTTGAAAATTTAATTATAGGGGATAAAAGTGCCAACAGAATGCAGGATATATTTTTGCCTATCTCTGCCCATTTCTGCATTCAGTTCAAGGTACTTCCCATTGCCACATTATTTAAATTTGTTGCTTGTGATAAATCAAAAACTGATATTCAGGTCAGTGCTTGATTGATTGATTGATTAAATGATGGATGAATGCCTCAGAGAAGTACTTACATACTTTCCATTAGACGATACACTTTATTTCTTGTCTTGGGTTTGCTTTGGGAATTTTCCTTGGTAAATATCTCACTCCCTAATTTATTACAGCCTCTCTCCCTACCCTCTCTCTCACACTCCAGGGAGCAAACAATGAAATCAATTTAGAATAGACTTTTCAACATATACACACACATATATCGCCTAAGCCTAATCTCCCACTCTCTTTCTGTGTGTGTCTCTTTGCAGTTATTATAGAACAAACAACCAGAAGGAGGAGAGACCCAGCAGCAGCAGCAGCAGCAGCAACGACTAAGCCAAGTCTATTAACAGGGCAAACAAGTCTGGTTCTTCTCGTTTTCTCCAACGACAAAGTGGCAGCGGGTATGTGAGACGTGAAAGCTGGCAATGAGGCGACATCGATGCCAGGAGCAGCAGCAGCAGCAGGAGCAGGAGCAGAAGAGGAGGCTGCCAGGAACCAAATCGAAACAGTTAGCCGGCAAATCGGATTGCGAATCTGCTGTATTGACATAAGGAAATCGTTAGCCGGCTTAGCCTTTAGCCAGCCCCCATCCCAAGCGCCAGAGTGGAGCCGAAATTTAAAATTAAAAAATATTGCAGAAAAACGAATGGCAGCTGCGGGAGGAGTGTGGTGAGGTGTGGAGCAGAGTCGCTGGAAATCAAAGACGGCACACAAAGTGATATGCTAATGCATTGGATTTAGACAGAGACAGCGACCAAGAGAGAGAGAGAGAGAGACAGAGAGAGCGACAGCGACAGAGACGGGTCGAGTGTTGGGGCATGAATATTTCATGAGGCCAAAGCCGAGCGAGAGACAAGCCAAGAGCCAAGAGCCAGAACCAGAGCAAGAACCAGTGCCAGAACCAGAGCCAGCCCCAAGTGATGACAATAAGCTGTGACATGGCGGCAAGTCGCTAGAGACAAGCTCAGAGACAGCTCAGGAGCTCGGCAGCTCGGCAGCAGAGTGAGAATTGCAGAACGAGAGAGAAGAGACAAAAGTTTCCGGCTGCAAGATGACAGAACTAAGACGAGCTAATGGCCTGGACGCCTCCATACCGCGACTCCACAAGCAGCACTCGCTGCGTGGCGGCGGCCAACATCCCCCGCTGCTGCACTCGCTGGCGGATCACGGCTGCAACCTGAGCAGCGGCGGCAACAGTGCGGCAAGCACCACCAGCAGCAGCACGGCCACAGCCACCACAGCACTCGGAGGTGGAACTGGAACGGGACCGGGACCGGGACTGGGACTGGGAAGCACTCAACGCAGTGTGGAGTTCGATGAGCATGATATTTTCTATGTGTCGCCATCGAAGCGAAAAGGCGGGGGTGGCGGTGTCCCTGCCAATGGCGCTCTGGTGGCGCCACTGCCACCCAGCAGCAGCATCAGCAACAGCAACAGCAATCACAATGTGGTTACCTTTTCCAACTTTGTGAGCGAACAGCGGGTGACGCCCGCCTCCTCCCATCGCGGATCACTGAAGCGCAGCAAGGGACGCAGCAATCAATCGCTGTGCAGCTGCGATGCCGGCGACGAGGCACAGCTCCAGCTGCAGCCGGATGCCGCCGCACGGCCGCTCTTCGAGTACAGCCTGGAGCGGAGGCGGAAGACCCACACATACTCGTGCGAGCAGAACGCACAGATACTCATGAGACTGGAGCGCGAGCGTAATCGTAAATTATCGCTGACTTTACCCGGATCCGCCATCGAAATGGGAATGCCAATGGCAATGGCAACTGGCAACGGTGTGGGAACGGGAACGGGAACTGGTGGCGGATTGGTGGACCTGCAGGTGAGTGTTGTCGCTACCCGCTGCTCCCCTTCCATTTTATGTAATTGTAATTGTAATCATGAGCATCCACGTGGCACGTGGCGCGTGCCTTGTGCCCCATCTCGCGCTGCCTGCAACAGGCAAATGTGATAAGCAAACAGTTCGCGGCACGTAGAACGAACACTCACGGACAGAGAGTGGTGGGGGGGGGGTCCTCGACTGACACCTGCCACCGCTTGCGCTTGCCGCATGCCACTTGCCACCTGACAGCTAGCTTTTTGTGGCTAACAGTGCTCCTCCTCGTGGGTCTTTGGGGGGATCTAAGCAGAGGCTGGGGCCATGGAAGCTCTCCTTCCAGCAAATATACATTTTCATTGCTGTGGATTAAAGTTGAGGGAAAGGAGGTTTTCCATCAGAGGTATAAATCGTTTTGATCTGTAGTTTGAGGATAAGGTTTCCCTCAGAGCGCGCTAACAGTGCGTTGAGCGTTAACAGGCTGTTAACCTAGCGAGCTAACAGCGCTGTTGTTCGGTTGAAGCTGCTGAGAATCAGCCAAAAGAAACACCCGAAACTCAAACACTCTTTCAGTTCAAAATTCCCGGCCTTTCCCGCTTATTCGATAACATTTTTCAATCGAGTAGGTTTTTGTTGGCGTTGCCTATCATTTGGGGGCAAAAATTCCGATATTTTCAGTCGTGCTCTGATCGTGTTCATACTCACAACAAAAAATCGGAGAAAACTTGTATTCGATAACCAGATTTTGTCCGATAAATTTTGTGAAAATTTTTCCGAAAACATCAACAACAACAACAAATCGTAAATAGAAATTCGAGAGAAGAATTAGAATTAGAAATTCGAATAAAATGGATAGCGTTGTGTCGACCGCGACCTTAATGCAATCGACGGCATCGCTGTCCAAGGCCAAGAAATCGAAGCGGGTCCGTTTGCCGACATTCGATCTATCGCTGGAGCAGAAGACCGATATTAAGAAGGCCTTCGAGCTATTCGATACCGGCTGCACGGGCTTTATCGAGGTCAAGGAGCTGCGTGTGGCCATTCGCGCCTTGGGCTTTGAGCCCAAGAAGGAGGAGATCAAGAGCATGATGGATGAGATTGACAAGGACAAGACGGGACGCATTGCGTTCAATGATTTTCTGTATCTAATGCGTCAGAAAATGGCCGAGAAGGACTCCATACAGGACATGCTGAAGGCGTTCGCCTTCTTCGATGACGATCGCACTGGGCGCTGCTCGTTCGCCAATCTGAAGCGTGTCGCCAAGGAGCTCGGTGAGAATCTCACCGACGAGGAGCTACAGGAGATGATCGATGAGGCGAACACCAGTGGCGATGGCGAGGTCTCCCGCGAGGAGTTTCTCGCCTTCACAAAGAAAACTTTTCTGATTTAGTTTCTCTTATACGATTTTTTATATTGCTTTGCGTTTGGGGAAACGACGTTGTTAATGGATCATCATCTTAACGCACATATACCATTGATTTACACATCGTTTCAGGCGGCGCCACACACCATCCACACATCATCGTATCAGTACCATGAACACTCTATGAATATGCTCTTGAAGAAGTTTGGATATGCTTCGGTTAAATAAAGCAAAGCAATATACATATATATATATATATATATATATATATATATATATATGCATATGATATATACTATGAAGCTATCACGAGTGTTTCCTTCCTTCCATTTATCACAATTAACACGGTGTTGCCCTCCACTGCACCGTGCAATTACAACAAATGACAGCCAACTCCCCCTCCCACTCAGATCTCTCTCTTGTGTGTGTGTGTGTGTGTGCCACATTCCGTTGTTGTATGCGTGGGTTTTGTTGGTTCCCTTTTTTCCTGATCCTGGTGCTGGTCCTGGGGCAGGGGAGGTCGCTGTCATGCATAACAAATCTCTTTGACACATTTGATGTATGCCTTTCCATGGGGGGGAAAGGGCCTGGCCTGCCCTGGCCTGGCCTGGCCTGCCTCTGTGTGGCCCACTTTCAGTTGAGTTTGTTGCAGCAAATTGTGGCTGCAATTTGGTGGCATGCGTGGGTGGGTGCGACTGCAGGAAAAAGAGTCCAAGTCTGCGGCTCATCCGCTGTTTCAGTCGCTGTCGCTGTGGCTGTCTCTGGTTTCTGTCGCTCTGTTCAAACGGCAAACATAATTTAGTAGCAACGTTTTGGAGTTTTTATTTACGCTATGCGTTACATTTAGCTCCATGTACATGTAGTTGTTACTCCCGCAAAAGACACTCCACACTGCACACTCTCCACTCTCCAGTCTGGCTTTAAATTTATCAACTTCTTTGCGGGATTTATGGCTGCATAAACTCGTGTATAGATGGGTGGATTGATGGGGGAGTGCACTGGAGCTGTATTTATGTGTGGGGCAAAAGTTTCCTGCGAGTATTAATTGCAAACAAAAATCATTTTATATCGAATATTTTTTCTTTATGTTGAAAAACGTGTAGCTTTCCATCTGTGGGTATAAATAAATAAGCAGCTCATCAACCTAATAAGTGATACATATAAAAAATCCACTAATAAGATCTGGGACTGGGCACCCCTCCAAATATATCTTCACACGCAGTTTTTATGTCGAAACTTTTACGACTGCAATAATTAGAAACTTTCCTTCGTTTTTCGGGCCATCAGATGGTTTTTAAAGCTCTGCCCCTGCCAGCCCTTTCCAAACGAAAGCCGACAGCCGACAGCCGAAATGGCCATTGATAAAGTCGTAAAGTTAAGAGCCTGATGGATAATTACAAATTGGCAGGAATCCCAGGGCAGGGCAACGACAGAGAGAGCAAGAGAGAGCGAGAGAGAGAAATACAAAACTAAAACAAACTTGAGTATTTATAAAAGTTTTTGCTTATTGCTTTTGCCAAATCGATTAAATGCGATTGTGTGTGTTTGTGTGAAATGAAGAACTAGCCAGGGACACGGCAGAAGTTCGGGTAAAATATAACCAACACTCAATTTTACGAACATTTAACTAAATACCCGGACCCGGACCCCGGACTCTAGTCGTAGACTCCAGTCGAGTCGAGTCGAGTCGACTCGAAAGAGAGATGTTCGTAAAAAAGTTTCTCTCGCAAACTACAAAACTGCCATAACTCAACATTACGCCCGACAAACACACACACACGCACGCACACCCTGTGTTCCCCTAGATCTTCGCCCTCTCCCTCTATGGCATATTCGTGGCGATGCAGAAATTTTTGTAACTGTAGCAAGAAAATTTGCGGCAGAGAGGAGCTGCTGCTGCTGCTGATGCTGTAGCTGTTCCTCTCTCCACACGCATATAGACACATAAATTATGGTAAAAAATTGCACAAAATTGCAGCAAAGTAGACGAAAAATTATTATAAAATGTGCATTATGAAATTTAAAACGAGACAAAGAGCCAAAGCATAATTCAAAAGGGTAAAGCCAAAGAGATGAAGGCGAGAAGATGGTTGCAGAAGAGGATGATGAGAGCGGAGCAGATGAGAAGCTGAACCTAAATGGGGGCAAAACTGGTAACTGCATGGGTCGAAGCATTAGATACACTTCAAGATCTATTAATTGGATGGAAAAGTGTTGCGCTCTGAAGCCATAAACAGAACAGAAATATAATAATTATATAATAATAATATAATAATAATAATATAAATATAAAAAAATAAAAATATATTCCTAAAAACAAACATTTTTATTATATACTATATTTCTATGACAGTCAGGCTTGAAAGTATATTTTATCAGGTGCTTGGAATCTATATGCATATAAAATACATTAAATAGAAAGAAATATCCCTCTGACTTTTATGCAAATATACAGGGCCAGAAATTCTGCCATCTGTGCCTTGCAAGTTTCTCCTTAAAAATCATAGTACCCTGCAGCAAAGAGTATAAGGAACGTGCCAGATGACAGAATAAAAGGAAGCTGCTGGGCCAACAAAAAAAAAAAGGCAAAAAATATCCATGCAAAAAATGGAACTCCTCTAAACTAAAGGGAAAACCCCGGCTAAAAGTCGCAGCGAAGAAAAACTAAAGCGATATATCAAGCAATTTAATGCTCAAAAACGCAACGCGAGAGATGCGGTTCACCACGATGGTGGATGGGGGTGTGCCCAGCCCCAGCCCCAGCCCCAGCCGCCCTTGCCCCCGTCTGCCACTTGCAGCTCTGCCACATAAACATGGCGTCAAATTTGTGGCATAAACGCCAAATAACCATATACTGTTGCATACATTTTGGCTGCACTGTGCCACAGAATTTATTCAACATGCGAGTATATGTAAGGGGTGGAGGGGGGTTAGGGGAATGGGATGGGAACTTTGCTCTAGTGCGCGTTTAATTAGTGAGTGATTTGCAGTCACAGCAGCTGCAAGAGATGTTCAAGTAACGAGAGGAGAGCTCAAAGGGGCAGAATGGAAGAATAGGAGTCGAGTGGAGAAGTGAAGAGAGAAGTGCCCCCGCCCCCACTTCCATTCGTTTGAGCAGGCAGGCAGGCAGAAGGAGCTGTCTGAGAGAAGGGAGTTGGAGCAGTGTCTGTGCTGGCAATTTGCAGGGATATATTTACACTGTTTAAGTTCGCGTTTAATCCGCTGATAAGCATCAGACCTAAGAGCGTTTATTTAAGAGTATAAGAATAATGTTTTTGTGCAGTTTTGGCTGCACTTTAAGCCACTTACTCCAACATATAAACATGGACATCAAAGGGTTTTAATCAACGACATATATAGAGATAAGATAATGTAGGGGAAAGGCTATAAAAGGAAAGAACAGAGAGCGAAGGAATGCATACAATTTTAAGGATATTTTTGGAACCTTTTTTTTGTGGCAAAATTAATAGCTAATTACTAATAATCTTGCTTGTAACTTTACATAGAAATATTCCAGGAGCTAAGAATAAATATCCTTAAAGTCTGAAGCACAGAAAACCCATCAGTCGTAGCCTGTTTTTGACCTATGTCCACTCATAAATCATTAATGGGATTTGAGATCTTTGATCTCATAAAAATTACGAAAACAAAACCATTTCAATATAATTAACCTTACCACTACACCCTCCCTCCGCTGCCCCCTGAAAGACAACCACCAAATAAAAACCAAAATCACAACAGCAACAGCAATGCAAAATATGTGGGAAAAAAAATGAAGAAGAAAAACCGAAATAAGAAAACTGTTCAGAAATTGGCTGGACTTAAAATATGCAGCACACGCCGCCGCTAAATATTTGCATAAATTATTTAGAGCTGGCGACAGGCCGGGGCATAGAACAAGAAAAGAAAAAAAAAGAATTACCAAATGAAAATATGAAAATTTCAATTTCCACTTAAGCAGCGGACAGGATGCGACAGGAGGCGGACAGGACATGGACAGGGACACGGACTCTCAGGGACAAGACAGAGTAAATAAAAAATAATCAAGACAAAAAAAAAAGAGCGACACAGACAACAATAACGACGATGGCTGGCTGGTGTCCCCATAAAGCAATCAAAATTCAAAGGAAATTTTTATTAATGGCAATGCAGACGCATCAAAATAATACACACACACACACACACAAAAAGGAAAGAAAAGTGCCAGGAACAAGCAGTGGGTGGGTGGAGTGGGTGGAGTGGGTGGAGAGGGAGAGGTGAAGGCAAATCAATGCAAATGTATTTCCCGTAACTGAAATTCAATTTCAAATCCCAGAGCGTGCTTTTCGAGATGCTCCCGCTGCTGCTGCTGCTGCTGCTACTCCTGCTCCTGCTCCTCCGTGAGGAGGAGTGCTTCGAATGATTATGATGATGATGATGCCGATGCCGATGCCGATGCTGACCGTAGCAAATTCAATTAGGGCGGGAAGGCCATGACGATGCGCACTTGGAATCGACTCGAACCTGGCAGTTCAGGCGCAGGAGTTCCTGCCAAGTGGAAATTGAGAAAATTTTTGGGGGGTGGGATAAACCTTTTTCTTGGCCTTTATCGCACACACGCCCCTTGATTGAGGGAGGGGGAGGATGTGTCTGGCTCGGTGTCTATGGCATAATTAAATTTGATGTAGCCAGGGGGCACAGTACACAGGACACAGCACTTTCTTGTGTGTGTGTGTGTGTGTGTGTGTGTGTGTGTGGCTAGTAAATCTCTTTTTCTTATGAATATTTTGTAGCAACTTTTTATGGGCGTACATACACTGGGCGAAAATAACAAGCATTTCCCATGGATTTAATATCAAAAAGAATATCCCAGACTTTCCCGCAATGAACACTCTTTGCGGTTGGGGGGTAACATCCGCCGGAAGCTGCTCATATCTATTGATTTAATGCGATTTCCCCTTTTGTCAGCAGCCTGAACTTACACTTCCTTTCTCGCTTCTGTTTTGCAGTGCGACACGCCCAGCCTGTCGGATGTGGACATCATACCGCCGGTGCCGCCGCCGCCTGCCATTAAGCGCAATGGCAGCATGCGGAGCCTCAGACTTCTGCAACATCTGCAGCAGCAGCAGCAGCAATTGGCCAACTCTGGCAGCCACAACAACAATCTGGCTCAATTGTGCAGCAGCGATCTGTTGCAGGAGTGCACCAAATCCGCACTGGATGAGTGCACTGCCACATTGCTCAAGTGCACCGCCACCACCAGTGCCAGCAATCAGAGCAGCACCAATAGCAACAATAGCAACAGCAGCAGCAGCAACAACAATAACAATGCGAAGCCAGATATCTGCCACACGCATAGCCACAGTCATGGCCACAATCATAGCAGCCACACTCAGATACAGAGTCAGAGTCAGAGTCTGAGCAAGCCACAGAGCAAACATGCCTCAAACCCGCCATTTGCTGCCCACGAGGAGGATGAGATTTTCACGCCCCACTCAAAGAAATCGGATCCGAGTCTGTGCTTCCTGCAACCAGCAGCAGCAGCAGCAGCAGCCACGGGTGCAGCACCAGCAGCAGCAGCAAGTGCAGCCGGAAACGGAAGTGCTGCCTCGAAATACAACACCATCGGACCGAGCAGCGATTATGCCCGACACCTGGCCCACTACAGTCGCTACCTGCAAAAGCAGCACGAGCAGCAGCAGCTGGCCCACTTCCAGCAGCAGCGCTGCCGCTGCTTCTCCCAATCGCTGCTCAATTTCCCACAGCAGGGAGCCCAGAAGCAAGAGCCGCAGCAGCAGCAACAGCAACAGCAGCAGCATCAGCACACATTGCCACTGCAACAGCAGCCGGCCATCTTTCACACGAGCAGCATGGACTGGACATTGCCAATTAATAGTCGCAGCTTTGGCAATTTGGTCAACATCGAAGGCAGTGCCATCGGTGGCTGCCGTGTGCCGTATCAGAAAATGCCCCAACACCACCAGGGAATCGGCAGCGGTGGGGCACTGGCCGCATCCACCTTCACCATGACATCGTTTGACAGCGACATCGGCCTGGGCATCGGGCTGAAAGAACGCGAGTCGCAGACATCGCTGCACCAGCAGGGTGCTGCACAGACGCACACCCATCCACATCCACATTCGCATCCACATCCCCATTCGCATTCGCATTCACATCCGCATCATTATCATGCACACCATGCGGTCGTGGGTGGATCGGGCTCCGGCTCCGTCACGCCACAAAAGCATCACCAGCTGCACTCGAGCGTTACGAGCATCATGCCATGGAAGCACCGACAGTGTCCCAGTCGCGGTTCCTCCAGCTCGGGAACGAATTCATTCCGTAAGTATTGGGCAGGGGATTTTAAATGGGGATTATTGTACACAGTAATTGTCAGAGTTAGCTGGGTAGATTCGACTTTGGTAGTTGGTATGTAATGGGCAAAAATAAGCGTAATTTATGCCATATTTGTGGGCAACTAAAACCATACATAGAATTTAATTACGTGCGCCATTCCTTGCCACATACAACAGATACAGAAAATGCGGAAAAATTCTAGAATTTTCATTCCAATTTTTGTGAAATTTCAAAGAACAAATTCGAGCAATTCCTTCGTAGTTCTGATACGAATTATATCGTCTGCTTTTTGCCTAATTTTGAAAAGGTTTTCTGTTGCTGCCACATGAGACGTTTCCTCAGATGCGAAACACCTTTGAGTACAGGGCATCTTTTAGTCGCTATACCAAAACCTGCCACTCGTACTTTCTTCTCTAATCCTTACACTGCCAGCTATAAACTTTTTCAAATCCGAAAATCGCCATTGCACTGCTCTGACCTTTCGGCAGAGCGAGAGAGAGCTCTCTATGACATTTGTCTCTGTATGCCGCTGGATCACGCTGTACAAAGTACATATATATATACAATATCACTCGTTCTCTCTGTCTCTTTCTTTCTCTCTAAACTATTTGAACTGAACTGTGGGATAGTGAGCGCTGGGCAGACATTGACATGGCATTGCACTTAATATTCCGCTACCCCACCATTTGGCACGCCCCCTTGGGGGGCAATTCCATTTAGTCGTTAGCCGTTTGATTGCGCTTCGTGTAACATGGCTGCTAAATGTTAAACGTTGCCAATGCCCGCGTGACTTTGGTCTCATCATCAGGAGTTGCTACGTTGCCGTTGCCGTTGTCGCTGTCGGTGTCCTCCTCCTCCTCCTCCTCCTCATCATCATCATCATTCTGGTACCAGGCTACCAGCTCTCATTCCCATCCTTGTCATGTCTCCTGGCAAATGCAATTCGTTAGCAGTCAAAAACTGCGTAACTGTGGACGACGATGTCCTGTCCCCTTAAATTTATGCAAATCGTTGATGCGGCTGCCCCCAGCAGCAGCAGAACCAGCAGGAGCTGTCTCCCAACTCTCTTCTCCGTCTATGACTATGGCTTTTCCTCGTTAGGTTTGCACTTGCTTATCGGTAATTCACTTTGGACTCACTTGCACAAGTGCCGGCCACTGTAATCAAATGGATACATCGCTCTGCTCTCTACGCTTTCCACACACACACACACCTCAGAGAGCTCTCCCTGTGGCCATGGTCATGGCTAGTTTTTCGCCTCAGTTGACTTATTTGCTTAGCTTCAGTTTCAGCTGCAGCTGCACCTCCTGCTCCTACTTCTGCTCCTTCTCCTGGTCTGTTCCCCATCTGCCACTTTATCAATCGGTTTTAGTTACACAATCAAATTCGGATTGCAATTAGAAATTACAAGCAGTTTGTCATTGATACTGCCCGTATCCGTTTCCACATAAGTGAAATCGTATAATGAGATTTGCATTTGCATCGCATTAACATTGGCATTGGCATTAGTTCTGTCGGTGCATTGGCTTTGTCTCCCACAGGGAGAAGGAGCCGAGCCAAGCTCTCGAACAATGTAATAAGCCCTTCAATGTAATGCCCCCCATGTGCTTATTAGTAACTGTAACTGTATTCAGATTCAGATTCAGATTCAGTCATGCTTAAGTTACATAAGCAATAATCTTTTGATCTTACGATGGGCGGCATCTGTGCGGCATGCACAACAAGTAAGTTCTTTTGTGCGTTACTAAGCCCATTTAGGGAGATGGAGTTGAAGCATGTTACAGGGCTTTCTATATGTGTGAATGCTATTCAATGATTAACGAAAAATCTGCCTGGAATTCTCGTATTTTCTGCATAGTGAAAAATATTCTAATACTAATAGTTATCCATCTAAGCATTATTATTTCTTTGCTAGCTTTGCAAGTGCTAAAAACGGTTTCAGAAAATTTAATTTAAAGTCAAAATCGTCTAATCAATTATTAAGTTGTGTTTTTTGTAATGTTTGTAATGCAACGATGAGCACAAAGAGGGAAAAGTCGGCAGAGACCTCTCGCCCAGCGCTCTCAGTGAGTCGTAACAGCGAGCAGTAACACCGATCGGCAACAGCCTGTTAACGGCGCGCGGTAACATACTGTAGACGTGGCGTGTTAACAGCGCTGTTCCTGTGTTTCAGCTGCTGCTCTGAACTCTGTTACTTATGGTGTATATTATGATAGTCATAGATCTCTTGCTTATCTAGTCATCCTTTGTTAGTAAGCAAAAAAGGGTATTTTTCCATCTTTATTGTTCAAAAATCAACTCAATAGATTGCTTTAATCTGTCATGCATTGGCTCATACGACACTTTTAGCAAGTATTTTACCTTGTTCTTATGCTGCATGAGTTTCAGAGCCAATTGAATGCCACCACTGGCAATCTTTAACCAAGCAAAACCCTTCTTGAATTACAAATATCCCTCAAATGCTCCTCCAATGCCTTCCTTCCCTGCCAACTCAGCTAATTTCCTTCACATACGAGTATCCAACAAGTTGGTCATGCCTGATCGAAGCTGATTTACTGCACTGCACTGCAGTGCACTCCATTCGTTGAATGGAATTTGAGACCAAGTCGAAGACTGGCAGCAGGAGCTGAGCATCTTGATGATGATGGTTTCTCCTTGGTCTCTCTCTCTCTCTCTTTGTTTGATTCCCCATTTTGTAAACCAAAACCAACTCGGCAGCAATTCAATTTTAAACGTTTAACTAACCATATTTCCTTATTATCGTTTCTTTTTTGCTGCTGCTGCTGCTGCTGCTGCTGCTCCTCCGATGATGATGGGAACACACCGCAACTTGATGTCGATGTTGCCTCTGGTCTTCTTTTTGCTTTTCTGATGCCCTGCACGATGGTCGTGCACCATTACCATGGTTGTTGTTGCTTGTGTTGCTGCTTGTGTTGCTGCTGCTGCTGCTTGTGCTACTGCTGCTATTGTTGCTGTAATCAATGCCACTGTCACGGCAATTTGCACACACACAAAATGCAACACAAACCAACGAACAATGATGATGATGATGACGACGACGACGACGACAACGATGCTACAAACGACTTGGCATTGAACTGCCAATAACAACTACAACACAATGGATTTGTGGATGTGGAACCCCTGGTCATCATGAATGCTGATGATGTTGCCATCCTCTTACTCTGCTCTGCGCTCTCATATGGGTCCCATGGGTGCGATGGCTCCTACTATTTCTCCTGGCTACTGGCTCCTTTCTCCTACTGTATGTGTATGTGTGTGCAGGATTCGATGCGGCCAAGCATTGGCTGGCTGTGAGCTCCATACTCTTGATAATTGGGGCTGCCAGTGTGGCCGTGCCCCTGGCTCTACGTGTGGCAGCAAGTGAGTATCTAAAACCCAGAGAGAGATAGACAGACCCATGGAGAGCCACTCCATGGACAATAAATCAATTACCATAACGCATACGACACGTTGCCTCGCACACACTATCTTTGAGTCGATTGCCAGGGCGAATGCGATTGCCAGAGAGGGGGAGAGTGTGTGCCGGAGTGGCGGGTGTCCATTGTGCTAATGCGCCTCTAACTTAGTTAGAAGCTGTTGCTGCTGGTAAAGCATTTCCATCTCACATCTGACATCTTCCACCTCTTCCCCCCTGCAGGTGCACCGTTTGAGGAACGCCTACGCGTGGCCGTTCAGCTGCTGGATCAAGTGCCTTTAATCGATGGCCATAACGATTTACCCTGGAATATACGCAAGTTCCTGCACAACAAACTCAACGACTTTAAGTGAGTATCCCCAGCCAGGGAGGGGCAGGGATGGGATGGCAAAAATGCAATTAATTTTTAATACCAATTTGTGTTATTATCCCCTGCCTGCGCAGTTTTGATGAGGATTTGCGCAATGTAATGCCCTGGGGTCGCAGCCACTGGAGTCACACGGACCTCACGCGACTGAAGAAGGGACGCATATCAGCACAGGTAAGCGAGTTGGCCAAGGATGCCCAGTCACGCCTCTACCCACAGTCCACAGCCCACAACCCACAGCCTACTACCCACTACCCACCAACCTCTAGCCACTATGCACTATCCACTCTCCACTCTCACTTGAAATTATTATTGCACGTAACTTAAACTGAACTTGGCAGGTGGGCTATACCCTTACTGGCTTTCTGGCGGTGCTCTCAGTGGGGTATACTTGATTTTAGAGTTGATTTAGTTACAGAAACAAATAAAGCAGCAAAGGAACTATAAATTGAAGCTAAAATAATACTTGAAGCAAGCATTAGAATTGCTTAGACAACTGCTGGAATTGTCTGAAAATGACTAAATTATATTTTAGTTTTTGTACTCCTTAAAAGAGCATTCAATCTTCTTCAAGCAAAATCATTCTCTCTTAATATTTTATCCGCTTGGCAAGTGGTTGTCCAGGCAACAGGCGACTTTTGCTTTGAGTGTGCGGAATAAGGCAAGAAAAATATTAATTATGGGCCCACTCACTCACGAAGCTTCTCTCAGGCACCAAAAGCTACGGATGCGCTGCTCTATCTTCCTTCTGCTGCTGCTGCTGCTGCTGTTCCTCCTGCTCCCTGGCCGATGCTGATGATGATTCTTAATTATTTTTTGCCATGCAACCTGGGACCACCGAGCCGGGAGGGAAGTGGCTGGATATCCACTTGATGATGCCCTTATTGATTCGTTACCCGGCTCGATTGCAAGCAGGGGACGCAGATTTTTAAGCTTTCTTTTAAGTGGATCAAATGGAAGTGGCTGATTGGCAGTCATGCCAAATCGTTTAACTAATTGGAAATGGATATTGGACATTGTAATTGACGGGGGGGGCAGCCAGGTAGCTAGGCAGCCAAGGAAATGTAAACGGCATTGGAGTGTATCAAGATTAATGAAGGAAACTGCCCGGAAAATAACAAAAACGGGAAAACGTGGGAAAAGTCGAAACGATTAACCAGAGCCCCAAAGTTCATAAATCAATGGGGGCAAACCGAAAACCACTTGAATATTTCAAATTGTCCAGAGAATTTTCCCCCCCACCCCTCTTCCCTTTTCCCTTTACCGTATCCGTTTCCGTTGAATTTTCCATTTCCCCAGTCGAACCACAAAGACGATTTTTCACGTTCGCCGCGAAAGAGAAATGACTGAGGAAAAGCGAAAGGAATGGCAGCGAGAGAACATTCCAACCATAATGAAAATTAACTTTTCCAATGCATTTTCCACGTGCCACAACTACTCCCTGCTGCTGCACTGCCGCCATAAATTCCGGTTGCATTTTTGTTTGCGCTGAAAGCAACAGGGCTAACAGGTAATTGCAGTTGGCCAACTCAGAACTGAGAACTGCAAGTTGCCAACACTGGCAGCACGCAATTTAAAATTATGCAGCACTCAATTTAATTACGCAACCGAATGGCTCGACAGTTGCGTCGCTGCTGCCTGCCTCTGACTCTGACTCTTGTAATCACAGAAACAGCAAGTGCCTCAGAGGAGGGGCAGGCGACTCCTGCTGCCAGGAGCCAGGACCTTTGGTGGCTTTTATGGTGCACTAAATGTGATGCTTATTAAAACTTAACACTTGCAAACAGCCGCGATATGTTCCCAGTTGATGGCGCCCCGCACAGCCCACTTCCTGCGCCACTTGAGGCAGGAAACTTGCAACCCAACCCACTTCTTGGGGGGTGGGGTGCAGTGGCAAACTTCTTGATTCTGATGTTCGATGAGCGTGGCAAGTTATAGAGGCAATTTCTGGTTTCTTCGGTTAGCTAATTGAACTTGTTGACGAGGCTTCCTCTTCCACTTAACCCACGTCGACAGCCGACAGCCGGCAGCCGGCGCAGCACTCACTGCCGTGTGCAAAATATTGTGCAACTTCCACCAAAGTTAATTGCCACCGAGCGAGTGCATGCATGAGAGCGAGGTGCTCGCCGACTGGCTGTCAAGTGTGTGTGTGTGTGTCTGGGTCTTTAGCTTCGTTTTGGTACCCATTAATTTGTAACATTAACAGAGGTGTGCCATGAAGATGTTTTCAAGGTGGATTATATAGAGAAAATAGTCAAATAAATAATCCTTCAAATTATAGCGATAGAGCGATAAGGAGCTTAGAAATTATGGCAATTGTAATTATTTGTTGTATGAAGGAAACTCTTGCTTTAATTACATATAATTTAAGTTAACAGAGCGCTGCCAGAGAGCGCCAACAGTGCACGCTGTAATCGAGGACGGCCACGGGCTGTTAACGAAGCGCGCTAACAGGCTGTGAGCATGGGGTGTTAACAGCGCAGTTGTTCTGTTACAGCTCAGCTGCTCTGAACTTAAAAGTATCCGCACAGGAATATCGCTTTTTAAGTTTATAGATTTTCTTATACAGATGAAATCTTAATTTAATCCAAATTGGTTCATAAAATCACAGGAAAAAATGAGGAAATGAGGAAATGTTTATTGCCTTGTGAGTACTTTCCACGGTACTTCACGCATTCACCCTTCGCTAGACACAGGCTCTCCGAGATCTCCGGGGCCTCACTCATAAATGTACGCTCAGTCCGCAATCTGCATAGTTTTTATTGCTTTGGCTTAATGTGTTGCACAAGTCCGATTCGAGCGGAGAAGTTTGCCAACACTCAATTCCCAGCAAACAAGTTAACTCAATAAACTTGGCCTCCACTGAACGACAACGAAAACGACAACGAAAACGACAACGAGAACGAGCAGTGGAGTGTCACCAAAACTACAGCAACAATGACAACAACGAGCAGGAGAACAACGTGGCAACTAACTAGTTGACAACATGTTTCAACAATTGTTGCCCAAAATGCCAAACGTGCAGAGAATGCGCCTTCAGCAACACAATCTCCAAAAAAAAAAAAAAAAAAAAAAAAAAAAATAAAAAACGATGAAAAATACAGAGAAAAATGTCGAGAGCCTACTGAAGAGAATTCTCTACTCTGGAGAGAGTGAGGAAAGGAAAGCCGTTTAATAGACAAGCTGGAAAATCACGTATATACCATAAAGCAGTCCAAAATCTTGTAGAATGGCAACATTTTTTTTAGACATGCCACAACGACAGAGCAGAGCAGAAGCTTCGCCCCCAGAAGCCAACATCTGTGCCCTGAGTAAGGCCCAGGGTTAGATCCCGATGAGCAGCTCCAGCTCCGAAGGGGCAGAAAACAGTGGGCAGGTGGGTTCAGGTGGCAGGTGACAGGTAGCAGGTAGCAACAATGTTGAAACATTATGAAGCCGCCCAAAAAGTTGGCTACTGTTTTAGGGGTCCAGGACACGGAAACGTCGTGTTACGGTTGTCCGGCTGCATGGCTGGCTGCATTCTGCCTTTTCTCTGCCTTTTTGGGGGGCGCACACACACATAGCCAGCCTAATGGAAAGTGTACACACACACACACACACACACACACACACACACACACACACAGACATGAGCAGACAGTGGTAGATGCCAAGGACGAAAGCAGGCAGAGAGAGAGAGAGAGAGAGTGTAGGAAGCTAGAACGAAGGACGAACGGAACGACGAGCAGCGACTGCCATAGAACGGATGTGGCCGCAACGAACAGTCGTCGACGAGAACGACGACGTTTCTGGCTGTAATCTGGGCCAGGCAGGACATGCAGGACACGGCCACGTTTTGCGAGGGAAATTCCCAATGGGGTACCCTGCCAGAGGGTGCTCTAGGGTTGTTCAGAAGGTTCACCCTTCTAATAATTAGCTTAAAAAAAAACTTAACATTCATCTATATATCTAGTATATATATCTAGTATTATCTACGTATATCTTTATATTTATAGCTCACTCTTTCCCAAATGTAATTCCATAATTTACGCTCGCAGAGTATTGCCCCATTCGACTACCAAAAAATTAAATTTTTGTTCGTGCCTCTTTTTGTTGCACTGCACTGCAATGCAATGCTTATCTGTTTGCAACGTTGCCTGGAAATTTATATTTACTTTTAAAAAGTATTTAGTGTTGGGTTAGACAACAGCAGACACAAAAAAGCGGAAGTAGTACCCGCTGAGGCCCAGAAGGGTTCCAGGCCAGGGCAAGTTTTTTGTCTGTCTGTCTGTCTGTCTGTGTGTGTGTGTGTTTCTTGTGTAAATGATTTTGGTTTGTGGGATTTGCTCGAGCTTACGTATTTGCCTCTTGTTGCATGGCTGTTGGTGGCCAGCCAAGGTGTTGCACTTGCGGCTTTGACCCAGGGTCCAGCTACAGTCACCACAAGCTGCTGGCATTTCCTCTTTCATAATAATTATGGTATGCAACGGCAACAGTGGCAGCAGCAACAGCAGCAACATGCAAACAATGCCGCAAGGCAATCAAATCCCAAGGTTTTGTTTCCTGCCAAGTGGAAATACATTTTAAATTCATTGCAAACACATTCACGGCATTGTTGCTGCAAAACTGACAACGAAATTCCAACAGTTTCGGGCTCAGGTCAGGAATGCTGATGAAATGGCATTACTATATATTTTATTCAGCTATGTACATTTTTATTAAATGGAATGCGTGAGGCAACAAAGGCAGCAGAGGCAATGCCTTGATTAAATGTTAATTAAATGTTTATTGAGGTGGGGGAAATGTTATCTTATGAAATGTTATCTCAAGTTTTGACAGCAAAACTTGGCATTTACCTAGCCTAAGCTTAATGTGTAGTTGGCTCGACTTTAACCAGAACTTAAGACGCTTCAGGCAGTCCTTGAATTTAAATACAATATGTATTTTATTTATATGTAGAACATAAATCAGCTCAAGGCTCTGGGCAGCCGCAGGACCCAGCTGCTGCTGCAATTCGCTTTAATAAATGAATGTCTGTGCAACAACAACAGCAACAACAAGAACAGTTACATTAGCCACAAGGTTGCACAAATAACCGCAGACACCCACACACACACACACCAGAGGGACACAGATACAACGCTGAACAAACACATTCACACGTGCCAACCATTGCCATTGCCCAACAAATCACGCAATATACTCGTAGCCTCGTAGCCATGGAAAAACCCAAGACCACCCCCAGCGTGTCCTACAACACCTGAAGCATTCACAATTAACTGGAAGCCAAAATGTTGTCCTTGAGGGAAATGCTGCTCCTCATACTGCTCCTCCTTTTGCTCCGCTCCTGTTGTTGCCGCCAAACAACTTTAAATATTAATATGCGGAGGAGGACAAGGAGAATGCACGGGGACGGGGACGGGCACGGGCACGGGTACCAGTGGCAGGCAACAGAATGTTAATGGTGATGGCAACAACCTGGATGATGATGATGGGCATACCAAAGGCGACGCCATTGAGACGTTGACAACACTTTGGCGACATCAGATGATGATGAGGATGAGGATGCTGTAGTAATACTCGTACCCATATACTCGTACTCCCACTCGTACTCCTACTCCTACTCGTGCTCGTATGTTCTGTACAGGTGGGCGAGGGCGTGGCCATGTGGCTAATGGCCAAGTGCCAGGGACTTAAACACACTTGAAGAGGCCTTTGAAAGCAAATACACAAGAGGCAGCCACTCCTGCAGGTTCTCCTGTTCTCCGCTCTCCTGCTGGAATACAAACAAAGGTACTTTGCCATTGTAAAGTCACACGAGCATGCGAGGATGGGATGGGAATTCGGATAACACACACACACACACACAAGGCAACTATCAACAGGTGCCGCAGGAGACTTGCCATAAATGAAATATTTTCCCTGTCGCAGAGCCAGAGGCAGAGCCTCGAAAGAATGCAGCCTTAAACTGCCAAAAAGCAGAACAAAGCAGTGAGAAAATACACACTGAAAATACACAGAAAATACACAGAAAAATACAAAGAAGATTCTGCAAAACACTGGCGCACAATCATCGCCCGAGTAACCGCTGGTTTGGGGTTTGGAAAATTGCTCATACGACGCGCGTTACCTGTTGCCCGTCTTTCAGGCGCCAGACCACCAACTTCTCCTTCTCCGTCTCCTCCCTGCTGCTGCTCGCTCAATCAAATGCCAGACGGACATTCAGACAACTCATCTTCAAGCCGTGACTACTCTCGACCGCTTTTAATGCCTGCAAAAATGTTTTAAGAGGCTTTTCCCGGCTCTCGCGGAAAAATTAAACAAAACGAACCAAACGACCAAACCAAAAAAAAAACAGAGGGCCAGAGAAATGCAAAGTACGCGTCAAAATAACGCCAACAAAGCGCCAGAAAAAAAGGGGGAGAAAAGTGAGGTTTACTCTGGCCATTGCCTCATTTTTGCTCTGTCTGCCTCTAAGAGTCGCCTGTCTGCGGTAATGTCGAAGTGTCGGGGCATTTACCTTATCTGCCTGGCGCAATGTTCATACAAAAAAAAAAAACAAACAAAATACGTTTATTGCAAATTGCTTTATTTCGGGAAGGGGATTTTTTTTAATTTGGTTTGAAGCGAAAGAGTTGTATTCTAATCGATAAGGGGAGTAGGGAGATATGAAGGGCATGTACTTGTACCTAAATGGGTGTTCAAAATGGAGATACTCGTGGATGGAAACAGGAATACATCTAATGAACTAATAAAGGTTATTTGAGGGGGATGGATTACATCATCCATAGACTGTGTAACGTTTCGATAGGTTAATATTTAAACAGGTCCTAATAATACGCAATTGGAGATATAATTACTTCAGTCAATTGTTCCTTAAATGGTAGATCCCTGTCAATTTATGATTTGTCCATTTAATATTCGAATTTCCAATTTAAATAGTTCTGTCTTTTTATTTTTTCTTGGAAAATATCCACTGATGATAAAAAAAATCTAATTAAAATTGAAATTAAAGGAAATTTTATTACCCCATTAGCATACCTTTCCTTTCGTCGCTTGTTTTGCCCAACAGCTGTTCCTGCTCCCAGCCATCAGCATCATAATCAAAACTGAAATAATCCCCTCACAGGTCGTTAGCAGCTGTACATTTTGTACATTTTTAAAGCTTTCCATAGCTATCGAATTATTTCTCGTAATTAAGCAAATTACCAGAGGCAGAATATTTTACACAAAAATTGTTTAAGTTTCCACCCCTAGGAGGTAGCAGGCAGGCAGGAGGCTATGATTTATCGCTGCATTTCATTATTTTGCCGTGCCCATAGATGGAATGCATATATGCATATACATATGTATTCATGGGAACAGGAATAGGCACAGGACACCTAGAATACTGCCCCCCAGATATAGAATATCTGCAGGGCGTTGTGGGTGGTTGGGAAACAACGTAAATGAACGCAAATGGTAATGAACATAGTCAGGGCATAGTTAGCACTGTATAGTCCATACAATTAACCCGAATTGAACATTAGTTCATGCACTTTGGCCACCTGATAAGCCCACCCCTGGCACCTAGCACTCACCAGCATCCCCACCATCCTCTGTCCAGAGTCCATCCGGGGAAGCCCTTGCCATGCCATTCCATTCTATGGATTGTACGTACACACATTTGTGGAGTATGCATAAGTGAGCTCTGTCTGTAATGAAAGGGAAAAACTAAACTAAAAATCAACACTGGGAATAGTTGGTTGGTAGAGCGGTCCAGTCCAGTAGTGATGTTGGGGGATTGCCGGAGCTGTGGCTGTGTCCAGGGGACCAGGTGGATAAACTTTTGCCTGCTGCTGGAAATAAAATTTACAGCTGTCCTTGTTATTGTTCTGTGTTTATTTGGTTGAGCAGAGAGAGAGAGAGAAATAGATAGAGATTGGGGAGCGCAAGAGGATGTCTGTGTGTGTGTGTATGGGGACTTCACAAAATTTCCCCGTCTGTTGTGCAATTAAAATTGCACAAATGCAGAGCCAACAGCCAGGTTGACCCAAGGCTCTCCCCCCCCCCCCAGAGAGGAGCACTCGCAAATCCAATTGCACAACTAACTCAACGAACACTTCAGAGCACCACCGACCGACCGCCGCCGCCGCACTCGCCGGGATGGTAATTGTTTTTCTGTGACTCGTTTATTGAAAAGTTTTACATATTTCATATGCACATCTGAGATGCGGATGCGGATGCATAGCCCGAGCCCCGAATTTTCTCTATGAATTACGCCAAACTTTATCATCATCAGCAGGAGCAGAGGAGCAGCAGGAGCTTCATCCTGATGTATGGTCTCCTGGAAGCGAGCAAATGCACATTTAGAGTGTTCCTTGTTTTGCTTTTAATTTACTGCCTTGAGGCAGGGACTCTTAAATCGGCTGGGCGGCAGCAGCAGGATGTGGAAGTGGAATCAAAAGCCTGGCTGGCTACGTGCTCGGCCAAAGACCCAGAGAATGTTCTTTGCTTCCTTGCTTCCTGGCTCATGGCTCATGGTTTCTGGTTGTTCCTCCGCATGGGCCTTTCTCACGAATTTATATTAAAAATTATTTATTACGTTTGCCAGGGCTTCCACGACTCTGCTACTGCTCACTGCTTCTCCGCTTTCCTCCTGTTTTATGCCAAGCAAAAAGCCAAAACTTTTTAATTGCTCTTTTTTTTTGTTTGGTTGTGTTTCCGGAATTGTTTTTTGCCACTTTCCACTGCCAGGTCCAAGGAGAGACACGTACGTGCTTTTATTTCCTTTAATGATATAACGTGATAGAACAGTTTTCCCACTTCTTTGCTTGGATTTTGTTGTTGTTCTGTTTCGCCTGTTCTCTTGAGGAGTCGCGTCGCTCTTTATAGAGGAAAATATATCACTTTTTCGTAATAAGGTGCAATTAACAAAAAATAAAAAGTTTTGGCAAAGAAAAGATGCCGGTGGAGGGGGGAAATAAATATCACTGACTTGAGAAGCAAGAACTTCAAAGTAAGGTTATACTTGAGTTTTTATTGGAGTTACAATCTTCAGAGCAACTGCAGCAGGCAGGTTTCTGCATGGTAACATGCTGTTATCATGCAAACGCGCACTGTTACAGCTCTTGTTACACTGCTGTTCTTACAGCTGCTGTTACCGCTGCTGTTACCGCTGCTGTTATCGCTCGCTGTTACGACTCTGAGAGCGCTGGGAGATCGCTCTCTCTAGGGCTCTTAAAGGGAAGAAGGAATAATATTAACAGTATCCAAGTGTCCCATAACTAAATCTAACAATATGCCTATCAGTCTGAAATGTTTGCTCAAAATATTCTTACATTACAATAATTTCCATACTAATTATCTTCTCCTCAATCATTTCGCCACTTTTGCAGTTCTGGGCCGCATATGTGCCCTGCGAGGCCCAACATCGGGATGCTGTGCAGCTCACCCTGGAGCAGATTGATGTGATCAAGCGCCTCACGGATCGGTACTCCCCGCAGTTAACCACATGCACCTCGGCGCAGGGTAAGTTAACAGTTAACAGTAACAGTCACAGAATTAATATAACACATACGCCGCGTGGGCAAAGCCCATGCCGTTAAACATTCCCCAAAGTTTCCACCGAAGAGTGAAAAATCCAGCAGACAACTTAAACCGAAACTGAACTGAACGGAACGGAAAGTATGCCAGGCATTCGAGTTGTTCGTTTTACACTCTTGTGTGGGTTTTTTTTTTCGGGTGGAGAGAGAGAGCGAGTGCTATGCCGGAAAACTTTGACTCGCGAGTCTTTGGCAAAGTTGTTGAAAAGTATCTTGGCCAGCTACCAAAAAGCAGTCGCTGCAACTGTGGCAGTTGCAGTAGCAGTAGCAGTGGCGACGGCGGCTGTGGCTGGGGCCCTTGAGCCAGCTGCTTACCGCGTGCCATATTTTTGCACCATTTCCTTTGATACGCTGCACTCACCTACATAGTTTTGCCGCACCGGAGAGGCCTCGTTTAAGCCAAGAAAAACAGTCCATATATTTCTTTATAAGTAAGCCGCAAGGAGTGGGGGCAAGCGCCACCAAGCACTTGCCAAATAGCAAACAGAACATAGAAAAATAAGACAAGTTTTTGGTTGGCCGAAACTGTAAATACCCTTAGAGATGGAACATTGTTTTAAAATCTAGAAGAGAGTTGTTTTTTTAAGGTTTCTTTCCATAGATAATTATCTAGAAATATAATTAAAATTTACGATAGTTCAGTGAAATATATCAGCCTTGAAAAAAAAGTGTACTTCACAGCAAATCCACCTTGGACGAATATTAATCATCAAAATTATCTTTTAATGGGCCATCATCTAGTGCAAAGATTATATATACCCTCTTATAGGGTATCGAAAATTCTGTAAAAGCTGCAAAAGCCCAGAAATTGCAAGTAGCAACTTTTGACTTATGCTTCGACTCCCCGGCCAGCATTTGTGTGTTTCGTTTGCCTGTTTGTTTTCCGTTTTGCATTTTGATTTGCACTCTGCCTGCCTGCCTCCCTGCCTGCCTGCCTCTCTCGCCCTTTTGCTGCTCTTTTTTTTTTGCACTCGAGTCTGGGTGGAGTCTTGGCCATATTTTTTGTATTGCAGCTGCATACACAGGAAAAGGGCAAAAGAAAACTGAAAGGGAAACGAAAACTGAAAGCATAACAAACAAATCGCTTCCGGCATTTGCGTTGAAACATTTATGTAGCCGTAAATGGAAATGTCAATAAATCATGGCTGAAGTAAACTCATCCGCAAAATAACAAGAAATATGAAACAGGAACACTTTTAGCTTTAGCTTTAGCTTTAGAACTACAAAAGAAACTGCAGGATCGAATGCCGCCACTCCCGCACACTTTTCCGATGCAATGGATTTCTGAGCGGATGGAATGCCAATTGCATATGTTTTCCCCTACCCCCCACCACCCAGCACACTCTCAATCCGCTCCGACATGAACAGCAAACAGAAAAGTGAACAATTTGCAAATCTTCTGCCTGAGACGCCTCAATGGCGGCGGAGTCCCTAGAGGGAGTCCTTGGAGGCAGCCTCTGATGTCTCTTTCGCAGTCAGCATAAAAATTTCTCTTAATTGATGCGGTTTTTTTTCGCTTTGGTTTTTTTTTTTGTGAAAAGGAAATTGGATTGAATGAAGCGAGTGAAGTGGCAAATTGAGCAATAAATTTGATTAAAATTGGAGAACTCTACTAGTCGAATGAAAAAAAAAAAAAAAAAAAAAGAAGAGCAATTGGATTGGAGAGAAGCGTAAAAGAATGGCAGAGAGAAAATGGCTAACAGATAAAGAGAAAGAGTCTGGAAATGAGGAAAGAAATGCAAAGGGGGTGACAGCATTGGCATTGGATTTTATCTAGAGACTTCTTATGCCCGATGATTGATTAAATTTGCATTTACTTGGGACATCAATCCATAAGACAATCAATATCAAACGTGTTGCTTATCAGTAGCCAGAGTATAAATTTTATAACTTTCCTTGCATATAAAATCCCCCGTTAAATTTCTACCATATTTACGTTTAATCAAACGAAAATCCGCATTGAGCTTTGTCCCCGAAACGAAACCAATTCGTTCTAGTTCAAAGATCCAAAAAAGCACAGAAATCAACCAAAGTCAAAGGAATAAAAAGCTGACCGACACGTTACACACAATACTGCAGAAAAGAAAGTACAACAGAGTGTGAAAATAAAAAGTGACTCGAAAATAAACAACCTGCATTGCTGTTCCCTGTGGAAATCGCAGCTGCTGCTGTGCTGTTGAATAAAATAAAACCCAACATTTTATTTTAACTACTGCAAATAAATTCAGTTGAAATTGTTGTGTGTCCTGTCCTGTCCGCTCCTACTCGCTCACATGTCGTGTAAATAAAATGCGAATCCAAGTGACTATTGAGCAAATGCAGCAGGGCGTGCCACACACATACCATTGGGTACTCCTTTCGAAGCTGCCGCTCTGGGGCTGATGCTAGTGCTGGGACTGCCGCTGGTGCCTGGGGACTGCCGCTGGTCGATCTCTGCCAAAGTGATTGTAAAAAATGCAAACCTAACGAACCGAAACACAACACAACGCGACGAGTGACGTGCCACGTCACTCACTGCGAATACAAAACCAAGTCCTGCTCCTGATCCGTGTCCAAGCGGGAGTTGAAGTCCTAGTCGTAGTCCTAGTCCTTGTCCCCACTCAAAGTTCTAGTCCAGGTCCCCCCCACTCATGGTTGGGGCAACTAAACAAATGAGCGTTGCAATGGCGCTCCATAAACCCAACAACATTCTAGACGAGACACAAAGCTCAGCCTCGAAGCCTCGATATCCCAGTGGCAGCAGTGTCCCGTGTCCCTGTCCTTCTCTCCCTCTCCTGTCACCTGCCAGCATTCTGCTACTGCCACTGCTACTTTACATTTGCCTCTCTGTCACACTCACACACACACTCCTTCGCACTTACACTTACACTCCAAATGTGAGAATCGTTTTTATTTGCAATTTTCAATTTTCACCTTCAAAAGTGTAAACTTCAATTTACACTGCCACTTCTCCACCACTTCCACATCTCCCGGAGCCACCGCCAAGAGTCCGAGAAAAGGATATTGAGAAAATTGCATTCTGCTGCAGCAGTAAGAAAAATAAGGGTCCAGAGAGGTATTTGGTCGCATCAAGCTGAAAACTACAATGCTCTTTCTACATGGGGTATAGCGAATTGATTAAGCAGTAGAAATTGTAAAGAATGAAAATATAGAATGGAGATTGTGATAAATATTAATGGTAGAAAGATTTGGTTAGGATTCGGAATGTATTTGGCAAAGGATAGAACATAATTTAGTATTCGTAGAAAACTCAATTGCGTAGATACTACGACAGGAAATATATAACAAGCGATAAAATATAAAAACATGGAAAATAATGTTAGATTGAACACATACAAAGGATATGGATTCGATGAAAAATGATGTAGATGCTATCCTCCATAAATGCACGTTAGATATATCGTGTAGAAATAGTAGCAAGCGCAGTAAAAATATTTACTGAAATATTTATAGATCCCATCGAAGTTTTAATCACTTTGTGGAAAAGATAAGATATCCCCCAGAAACAGAACAATTATTAATCGAACTAAGACAATTTTAGGTAATGAAAAAAGTGCATTAAAATATATAAAATAATCTGATTGAAGTGTAAGAGGTGCAGAAGACATGTAGCAACTTCCTCAGCATCTTCAGAGTATCGAAACTTCCACTAGCTGCCGAGCGAGTGTCCTTCATTGTTCCCCTTTTGTAAAGCTGCTGCTGCCACTGCCACTATTGAGGCTTCTGCTGTTGCTGCTGCTGCTGCTGTTGCCATTGCTTTTGGTTTATTGCGTCAAGTGGCATTTGGTTGGGATTTTCATTTTGAAACGTATTGGTGGAGTGTGGAGTGTGGAGCACCACTCTCTGTGTGCCATGAGTATTGCCTCAATTCGTATCCGATACATTCGGGCCATCTATTATACATTACGGCACTGGTCACCAGAACTTCGCTCCGGCCAAAGTCACAGACAATTACATGCAAGCAAGCACCAAAGAGCGAGCGAGCCAGCGAGCCAAAGTCCTAGTCCCGGGCATGCCCCAGAATTGAACTTCAGCTCACGTGGCGCATTTTAGTGCCTTCGAGTTGCCTTTCGTTTTGACTGTGCCGCAATGGCAGCAGCAGCAGCAGCAGCATCAGCATCCAAGAGAAATGGCAAGAAGGATTCCTTTCTCCCTATTGGTATTGGTGCTGTCCTGCCCGAACATTTGTTTATTTGCTCCATATTTTAGGGTTTTACGGCAACGACGTTTCCGACATCGACCAGGTTTTTGTGGCAGGTATTTGGTTTTGCCAGGGCAACAATGGAGAACCCAGAGCCAGAGCCCAGCAGCCCAGCAGCCCAGCACTCAACATTGGAGCACAATGCCATGCCATGCCCGTTTCCATGGCCTCCTCCATTGCTTTTGATTTTGCAAAGCTTATTTGCTTATTGCCAGCGAATCCTTGCGTCCTGTGTCTTGGAGTACCTTTTCCCCACTTGCCGATTATCGTTTCTCAGTTCGTTTTGAGGGTCTCACAGGAAATGGTGGGGGGGGGGCCCGTTGTGCCGTTTTGCCATTTGCCCTTCGTTATGTGGGTGGAAAATTTATTAACCCGATTTCCCGCTTTTGTGTGTGCGACACATTCGAAATGTTATCAAAATTGGCTGTGGCACACACACACAAAGTGCTTGATTTGAATAGCCTCGCAACAAATTATAATGGAACCCCCCCGAGTAGGGAGCCTCCCTCTCTCTCCCTTCCTCTCTCTCTCTCTCTCTCTCTCTCTGCCTCAGGAGAAAAACAAGTTTCCCCCAATTATTTGCAGATAAATAAAAATGGGAAATGCTGATACGAGCAACGAAATGGAATCGTCGACCCCACCCCACCCAAAATATTTTTCTTATATATATTTTTTTTTAATATACGTAAAAGGTTATTCAGATTGATCAATGACACTACACTCTTTGATGCACTCGAAAACTTTTGGACAATTTGTCAAAGGAAAATTATTATTTTAGGGCATTAAAAGTTTTTGGGCAGCTTCTGGCCAGCCACTCCACTCGGAAAATGCACACAAGAACTTGGACAAGAACTTGAAGCAAACATTGTTGAAGCTTTGCTGGCTAAAAACAATAATGAATGAACGAATAAACGAATAAACGAATGAATGAACCGAGCGTAGAACGAACAATGTTCAAGTATTTTGACAAGTGCCTTGGCAACAAAATAGAATAGAATAGAATAGAATAGATCAAAGCTGTTTGGGCGCAGCTCTAACTGTGGGACCCTGTCCCTGTCCCTGTCTCTGGATTTCTGGTTTTCTGGTGCTGGCCAAGACAAGCGTAAATATTGCATGGCACAGCGAAATGTTTTGTTTTACTGGAACTGGAACGGATAAACTGACAGAAGGCAGCACCGAGCTCTGGGCGGAGGGAGACTGGGGAGACTGACACCAAAGACTAACCTCAGCGCACTGTGAGTAGTGCTCAATGGGTGCCAACCGACCAAATGACAGACCAGCAGCAGCAGCAACAAATGTTACTTATGGAACCGAAACAATGGCAAGTTTTAGGTTTGAGTTTGCTCAAGCGCAAAAACTCCAGCTAAAAATTCTGTCACTTGTCAGTTAGCTTACAAAATATAGAGATAAATATTTGATTTCGCTTTTCCTCTTTGCAGACATCATTGATGCCCACAAGAACCAACAGCTCTGCTCGCTGACGGGCGTCGAGGGTGGCCACTCGCTGGGCGGCTCGTTGGCCGTTCTGCGCACCCTTTATGCGATCGGTGTGCGCTATATGACACTCACCTCCACTTGCCATACGCCCTGGGCCGATTCGAGTTATGCGGACGCACCGACCTTCAATATGAAGCATGGCGGACTCACCCTCTTCGGCAAGGTAAGTCTCTTTCCGTTCACTCTTACCCTGTTGGTCTTGTTCTTGTTACACCTGATTTAATGCTAATTAGTTGAACGACAAAGAGGGAGGCTCCTGTGTGTGTGTGTGTGTGTGTGTGTGTGTGTATTGCGTGGGTCCTCTGTCGTGCCCTGTTCCCCTGTCAGTCCACGGCTTACACGGGGATTTGGTCGCTGATGATGCGTCCTTTTGGCTTCCCCTGCTCAACCTCATTGTAACTACGGTCAACCGCAGTCAGCGCTTTGTTAGCCCGGCCCCATAAACATGTGCAGTGTGTCTCGGTGGAGTGGAAATATGGAGGGAGAGTGTGGTGTGGGAGGCCAGGGCAAGGCAGTTATGTGCTTAAGTGCCCTTTCTGTGGGTGGATGGGCTGGGTCGTACATTCGAGGGTGTTTTCCGTGCGCTTTGTGCCCTCTAAATGGTTCAACAGTTCTCAAATTAGGTGCCTACTACAGTTTACAATTGCCAGTCGGCTTTGCTGCTGGATTTTCGTGTGGATCATATATATTAAATTAGGACCTAGGACCGGCCCCGACCCAACAATTTCTGTTCTGTTTTGTGGTGCAACCAGAACTAATGGCCCATAAGCTGCGGCCAACCAGCCGCCAATACTACCTGGAATCCATAATGGCTATTATAAATTACTCTAAACAGTATCTTTGAGAGAGAGAGAGAGAGAGAGAGAGCTGCTGGCATCGAAAATGGATTTTAATTAGCAGAGGTATAGGGGAATATTGATTATGCTTTCACTCAGCCAATTTCCTTCTAATCAGCTTTTAAGATTCAAAGGTTTGGTGATCTTGAATTTCCATCTCAAGGATTCTGTGTGTGTAATCTACGGCGAGGAGGTCATCAAACTTGCTGCTGCTGTCAAACATCAAGGCTATGGCCGACAAAAACGCATTTTAATCAGAATTTACAACCAAACAGAACTCAAAGAAACCGCACAAGCATTTACAATATTTCCGTTTGTCTGCTGAGACGCTTCTTGACTGCCTGCTCTATGCCTGTGCTCGTGTAATTATTTTGAAATTCGAAATTTCCTCGTCATGATGATGTTCAAACACGATTACAACGCAATCCGATGGTGTGTTTTTTTTTTTTGATACACTTACTAGCAGTGGGTATAATTATGAGCACATGCCAATCAATAAAATAGGTCCGTATAGCCATAACAAATAAATAGTCTATCAGTTCCTTGCCCTTCGTTTGCCAGAGATCTACTTGCACAATTTTTAAAGATATATATCTGAAGAAGAGTATCTAATGTTTCGAATTCACCCAGATAGAGCTGCTTCTTTCTGTGTTGCTGTGTGTGTGTGTGTGTGTTTTTGGGTGTTCTTCATGGCACATCTTGACGGGCCTCTGGCCGCCGTCCGCTTCCTCTTTGGCTGTGGGCTAGTGCCAAATGCTATTTACAGTAAAACGCAGCGACAGACAAAGTGCATGCGGAAATAAAATGTGCACACACACACACACACACACACAGGAAGAAAACAAAATAAACCTAAAATTAATAGCAAAAAAAAAAAAAGTGCACCAAAATTGAAAGAATAACAATTCTAGAAATAACACAGGAATATCAACAAACAAACAAACAAACAAACAAACAAACAAACCATCAAAGCTACAGCTGCTGATGCTGATGCTGATTCGAGGCAGGAAATGTAATGTAAATTTACTGAGGCCAATTCCATGACGAATATATTTTTTGATTATTTATGCATAAAAACGATATATTGCTCTGGGCGGCCTGTTTGCTGTTCAGCTGTCATCTGTTGGTGGGCCAATTAAATATGGAAAATAACAGCCCCGAAATCAGCGTCACTTCCTCATTTAACCTGCGGAATTTTCAATTACACATTCTCAAAACAATAGATGCGAGCGCGATGCCGATGCCGATGCCGAGAACAAAATACCAAAATGAAAAGTGAAAAATTCGACAATGCGCAGGCGCCAAGAGAGTGGCTAAATCGGGTAGGAGAGAGGAGAGAGGAGAGAGGCATGGGCGCTAGGAACGTAGAGAGAATAGGAAGAGCGCGAAAGAGGTGGAATCGAAATGGAAAATCTTTCGCCGCGCTGAAAACGACCAGGCAATGGCAAAATCGAAATTTTCATTCATACTATAAGGTGAATTGCACAGTGGGACAAAGCAAATGGGCAAGGTGAAAGAGGGAGTACTATGGAAAGATGTGAATGGATAACTTATGGAATATTTATGCCCCTTTATTATTACCAATATTTTTTACTTTTTACTGCGTAATATTCTTAGTAAAAAATTATCTTTAAACACAATTTTAATTTCCCCCTATTCCCTATTATGTTAATAGCAAAATTCTCAATCAGCCAACATTCCATTTTCCTTTATAATCATATGGTACCAGTGTGTCCCGTGTTCCCACTAAACGGTGTCCGCCCGCGCCTCGCTAAAAATAACCGTCACTCGCACCCACCGACACGCCGCTAGAGGCGCCAGAGTCACATGGGCCATGGTGAAAAGGCGCTCTCTCTCAACTGGCTCTGCTCGCTCTCTGGCTGGCGGATTTCGCCCCAAAAATTACTCTCATGGTGTGTGGTGGGAATGCCATCCATCGGCTGTTGGGCTGTGATGCGGCTCGGGTCGTGTCTTTGTGGGGTACTGTGGTTCAGTCGACGAACGAAATTCGCCCCAACGAGGCAGCTGGCCATAATTGTACCGAGACCAGACCCAGACTTCCGTGGCAGTTGTGAAGTGTAGTTGGAGAACGAACAGCAAAAAGCAGCAAAAAGCAGAAAAAAGCAGCAGAAAGAAGGAAGCAAAGAATAGGAAAAATACACAGCAAAACGAATACACAAAATATACACAGCGAGCGATACATAGAGGGAAAAATACAATACAATAAACGAAAAGAAAAGAAAGCCACCAAATACGAAATTGCTGCTGGCCAAATATCGTGGATATATCGGAACGGAACGCACATATTGGGAAAAGGTGAACAAATAGCAAATAACGATTAATACTACTAACCCCAGGGAACAGCACAGCCCAGCCGCACTAGCACTACTAACAACGAGAGCAATATGATGAGCCAAGTGGACTAATCGACTACTTCCTCTATACACGTACGAATCACCACCACCACCACCGCCACCACGCACACCCGTGATTGATGATGACAACGCAGCAGCTTGTGGCAGAGACAGAGACAGAGGCGACAGGGGCAGCAGCATCACCAGCAGAGGCAGCAGCAGCAGCAGCAGCACAGGCACAGCATACAGGGAACAACAACGAAGCAGCAGCAGCAGCTATGACAGCAGCAGCCACAACAGCTGGGCAGAAGCAGAACAAGCACAGGTCGAGGTCATCCGCACGGTACGATGACGTCGAAAAGCAGCAACGCAAGAGCCGGGCCATTGTCTCCATACCGAACACCATCAAGCTGAGCATGCTGAACAGCGGCCTGCTCTCGTTTGAGCGCATTAAGCTGGAGGCACGCGACGAGAACAATTCGCTGTCGAAGACGATACCCAACGGACCCATCGATATACGGCATTTCCTGAAATTGTGCGATCTGCGCCGCAAGTTTCCAGTGCTGTACAAGCTGGAGTTCCAGACGGCGGCCAAGGTGGAGACGAACACCTGTCGGCATGCGTTGAAGAAGAACAACCAGGAGAAGAACCAGAATCCCAAGTGCATTCCATATGACTACAATCGGGTGGTGCTGGAGAAGGTGGGCGGACTGCAGGACTCGGACTATGTGAATGCCTCCTATGTGGACAGTCTGCTCAAGCCGAATGCGTACATTGTGACCCAGGGACCGGTGCTGGAGACGGTCGTCGCCTACTGGCGCATGGTCTGGCAGGAGAACATCAGCGCCATTGTCATGCTGACCAAGACCTTTGACTTTGCCAAGGTGATGTGCCACCAGTACTGGCCGGCCAACATGGAGGTGCACGAGACGTACGGCGACATTCACATCAATATCGTGCGGGAGGAGCAGCTGGCCAACTTCCATATTCGCACCTTTCGCCTCTACAAGAAGAACGAGCAGGGGGAGGTGTGCGACGAGCGGCTGATCCTGCAGTTCCACTACACCGAATGGTACTCCCACTCGTGTCCCTTCTCCAATGCCCTGCTCGAGTTCCGGCGCCGGGTGCGCCTCGTGGTGGGGAACATCATCAAGGACGAGGACGACATGCGTGGACCCATACTGGTGCACTGCAGCGATGGCGGCGGTCGCTCTGGCGTCTACATGTCCATCGACGCCAATCTGGAGCTCGCCGAGGAGGAGGAGTGCTTCAATGTCTTTGGCTACCTCAAGAAACTGAGGCAGTCGCGCAAGGGTCTCGTGGAGAATGTGGAGCAGTACAAGTTCATCTACGACACCCTGGAGGAGCACATTATCTGCGGCAAGACCTGGTTCCCCGTCTCCGAGCTGTCGGATCGCCTCAAGGCCAAGGCCCGCCGCAACTCTGGCACCAAGCTGAACGAGTACCAAATGGAGTACGATCAGATCTGCAAGCAGACGCCCAGATTCACCATCGGCGACTGTGCGGGCGGCCATCGTGCCGACAACAGGGAGAAGAACCGCGATGTGCTGTGTGTGCCGCCGGACAATTTCCGGCCGTATCTCACCTCCTTCCAGGGCAACGCCTTCACGGACTACATCAACTCGGTGTTCGTCGATGGGTACACAAAGCCGCGCGAGTACATCGTCACCGAGTGGCCCATGAAGCACACTCTGGGCGAGTTCTGGTCGCTGGTCTACGATCAGGAGTGCTCCGCGGTGGTGGTGCTCTGCCAGCCGCCCGCCCAGTCGCAGTCGTATCCCTCCTTCTGGCCGAACAAGTCCAAAATGGAGAAGTACGGACCGGTCTTCTCCGTGCACTACGTAATGTCGAAGAGCTACACGAACATCAAGCAGTGGGAGTTCAAGATCAACAAGAAGATCGTCTCGCTCACGGAGATGATGGCCGGCGTGAAGGCGCCGACGCGCACCGTCCAGCTGTTTCAGCTGACCTGCTGGCCGATGGGCCACAAGGTGCCCAGCTCGACGAATTCGCTGGTGTACCTGATGAACATGGTGGAGATATGGCGGAACAAGGTCGACTACGGCCCCGTCTGCGTTGTCTCGCCCGATGGTCGCAGTCGGGCCGGTGTCTACTGTGCCGCGAATGCGTGCATCGAGCAGGTCATCCAGCACGGGGAGGTCGATGTCTTTCAAGCGGTCAAAACCGTGCGCCGCCACAGGCCGCAGCTGGTTGAGAATATGACCGAGTACAAGTACTGCTACGATCTGGTACTGCACTATGTCCTGCACTTTCTCAACAAGAAGGACTGATCGGGGACTGATGGAAATTTGTGCGCGACTTTTGTTATTTTTGGGCGCTCCGTGGAAGCAGCCGCAGGAGGTGCGACAGGAGCGACCCTGCTCAGGATGCTTTAATGGTTAACAATGATGAAATACTTGAACAAGTGGTCCACATTTGATGCCTCTCCCTTGGGCACCGCCTTAAAGCAATAATACTGAGTATTTTACACACAAACCAACCAACTGAAAAACCATTTTTGTTAGCTCACTTTACGCCGGGCATCGAAATGAAATTTCACGCTCGCCGGGAGAAAGTGAGTGCACGTTTTTTTAACTTGTTTTTCTTTTTTGGTTTTTTGTTTCAAGAGGTCCGCGTGCCACACTGCTGGCAGGACCATAAAAAAAAACACACACACACACAAAAACTATATACCTATATATCTACATATATATACATATATACTATATACCTACTATATGCCTATTGATCTGAACTGTATGTGCCATTTGTAAAACCCTAGTTGTTGTTGTTACGATGATATAAGAAGAGAAGAGAGTGATGAAGGATGAGAAGTGATGTGAAGATGGAAGATGAGAAGAGATGTGAAAGAGGAAACTATTACGATTACGATTACCATTTATATTTATACATCTATAGTTATTATTATTACGTTTTACTCTTAACGAACCTGCTACCTGGGCAATTGTTGATATATATCTAACTACACACACACACACAAAAATACCTACATATATATGAATCTATTTATACATACAATAAGTATATACATATACGAGTATATTTACATATATACATATATATATATATGAATGTTATGTACTGTTGTTAAATGGAAGACGGACGGACGGCTGAAAACTGTTGGCGAAACTTTATTTTTTTTATTCATATTACAGAGAATATTTATTGCAATACACAACAAAAAAGTGAGAAAACTTCAGGGGGAATGAAGAGAACCAACTCTATATATATATTATTATTTATTTATAGAAAAACAATACACACACACACACAGACACACACACATACATATATACGCACTCATACATAAGAAATATGATTGTATAATAATTTTCCTGTATTTTCGCATTTATGCATTAGAACAGACAGACAACCTACCTACACATACATATGTATATTGTTGTAACTGTAATGGAATTATCTATTTTTTTAAATGTGACAAACAAACAAAAAAGAGCATGTATTTTTGATCGATTCAATGTCCAATATACATAGAGAAAACATATAGCACAAAAATTGTATTGAATTGGGGAAGCAAAGCGAAGCGAAGAAACCAATAAGAAACGAATGAAAATAACTTTTTATTTGTATTTGCTTTTTAATTGCGGTAGAGGGTGATTCTCAGTTTAAGCTGAAATTTGGCAAAGTAATGGATTGGAAATTGCTCACTGGAAATCTGAGAAAATTGCTTGCAAAAAATACTTTAATTATAATCGTTTCCTGCAGGAATGTTTGCACTTATTCCCAATACACAAATAATCCAAATTATATCTTCGGTTTGTTTGGCATTTCCCTCTGTGATCTCTTACTTGTGGATCGTTCCCAGAACTAAGTACTTCAAAGAATTTTCATAGATAAACAATGCCCCAATGGATGGGCCATAAAAATCAGTACAGTTCGTTTCAAAATGATATAGCAATTGCAGGAAAAGAATTGCCCGTTTTTATGGAAAACTGCAGACAAAGATACAGAAATACATACACCTCGATAGGGACAGAAGCGACATATATTTCTATTATTTTAAAACCTCTTTATAACAATTGATACGCTCTCATAAGCCTCATAATTTATTTAACTATAGGAGCTTACTCTTGAGCTTTCTCGACTTACAGCCATGGCATGCACTGTCTATCTCTCATCCGAGATTACACAGATCTCGCTGGCATGTACACTGTAAATTGGCATTCCACGGCTGAGTCATAAATGCGAAATATCAATCAAAATGTTTTCCATGGCGCATTAAAAATTGAGATCGAAAAGTAGGGGGCGGGTGGGGTGATGTTGGTGTTGGTGTGTAATGGAAATTGGCAAATGGATGGGCAGCCACTGCCACTGCCCCAGATGAATCGAGATACTCATACTATAAACAAAACAAAATCCAGACAAAGCGATCCAGCCAGAGGGCCATGAGCCATGAGCCATGAGCAACAATACCCATCCATATAAACCTTGACCAGATTACAGTTTAATGCGTGCAAATCAAACAGAGGCGCGTTGTCCATATAGATATGGCACTGCGATAAGGCACGGCACCGACCCATTGAGTGGGTGCGATGTGCGCTGAGGGGGGAGTCGCAGGACGATGGGGATAAGTGGAGTGGAGTGGAGTGGAGTGGAGTGGAGGTTGCTATAAAATCGATAAATGACAGCACACTTTGCTTTAGTCAGCAATAAAACCGAACGGCAATAATAGTAAAAGTTCGTGGCTCGCAATGACATCAGCAGAAAACTGTTGGGGAAAATCGGTGGAAAAGTCCGCAATATGAAATTGAAAAATTGTATAAAAAATATATCGCTGACCCAAAGGGAAAGGAATTTAAAGCAAAGCGAAAATCGATAGAACAGACTAAAAGTTTTGTCCACATTACTCATATGAATTTTTGCTGGGATTTTCCAGTATTTTGTGCTCGCTCGCTCGCTCGCTCGCTCTGCCTCTTTAATTGTGGGGAAAAACTCATGCAGCGTGCAAATTTGCTGTTGCTGCCACCGAATTTTATGCCAAATACGCCAGACAAATAAACCAATTAGTTTTTTGTTTTTCTGGAAATTTATATTTACGAGCTATTAATACAAAAGCCAGCGCGTGGCCAACACAAAAACAGCCAAACAGCCACACAACAGCAAAGCGGCGGCTGGCGGCTGGCGGCAGGGGGCAGTGGACAGGGGGGAGCAGCGCAATTAAGTTTTAGTTAATTAAAAAGTCAGTGGCAATTAATTTAGAGGCTGTGCCAAAAATTTATGGCACACACATAAAGTTATGAAAGCGAATCACAGTGGATTAGCAAAGTGGAACTTTATGGTTGGGTGTATGGAAAGGATGGGGGGGTATAATACCAGAAAATTTTCACAGGCTTAAAGTCTTAAGGTCTGTCGATTAGGAAATTGGTACAATAATTTGCATTGATTAAAGCCATAAAATGAGAAAAAGGTTGCCCAGTTTGTACGCTCAACTACTTATCTACACATTTGAATTTAATTGAGTGCTAGTCGTAGATGGATCTGTTATAATTTAAGAGCTTTTCTCTTTAGTTGCTGCTAAACTGCTTGGCTCAATAACTTCACATGCGAAATCACTATTTAATGGCCACACATTTGCCCCAGAGTAAAGAGTGTGTGTGTGCGTCTCTGGTGTACGAGTATTGTCTTGAATATCTAGAGATTGGGTTGGAGATTTGGTTTGGATTCGGAGTTGTTAGCACACTTGTTTACAATAAACCCCAGCCAGTGAACTAGAGTGCCAACAAACCAAATGGCAGCTGCACAGTCCAGACATGACAACCTCTCACACGCATGACTATACAGTCTGACTATAGTACATCTACATATGTACATGTATATACGCACTAGAGTGTGTACAACAATAGACATTAAGCAAGTGCTTGAACACACACACACACACACACACAGCAGGCACACAGAGGCAAATGCATTGCTGCGTAGGAGTATTCTATGTATATATATAAAGTGAACGAAGTCTGAGGCAAAGTCAGTCACTTAGTCAAACGGGCAAACCATTTCAATTTGTCAGTCAGTCATCCACAGACAGAGCCAAGTGCAATCGGAATGCCTTCCTACTGCGTGTGTGTGTGTGTCTGCGTGCGTGTGTGTGTGTGTGTGTGTGAGTTCAAACACTTCCCTGTAGTACTGGGCACTAGTTCGGTGGTGGTGATATGACCCGTCCCTAACAGACCACCACTACCCACTGGACACACCCTAAGGCCATCCATTACCCACAATGTCCTGGGATGGGGACCAGCGACACCACACGTTTACCCCCGAACTAGTGAAATGGGTACCTCTGGGGTTGACGATTTGGGTACCCAACAATGGGAGGAATGGGTACCCACTGGAGGTAGTGAAGGGTACCCAATGGGGGTGAATGGGTACCCAATGGGGTGTAAGGAACGGCATATTAGAGCCGTGCAGTTGACAATCACTTATTTATTTGTCTAATTCCTTATGAGTTATATTACTATACTATTATTTTGTTGTTGTTATTGTGCTTATATTTTTAAAAGCGTTTTTTTGGCTGAGCTTTCTTAGTTGTATTCCGCTGACCAGCTCTGCCCTACAGTATAGCACTATATATAACAAATAATAATGGGGTAGACAAACGATAGCAACCGCAACCCATAAAATCTTAAGACTTTCAGCGCCGACTGCCGCACCCACCACGTATGGCTAACACAACGGCATAGCAGTTTTATTTTTTACCGCTGTGGAGAACGTTTTTCACACGGACATGATACAATTTTTTACACATACTTACGTTAAACCGTTTGAGCGTTTATACTTGCCTGCGCCGGGAGACCCAACTTTTCGTCACTGGACGACACGCGCCCACTGTTTTAGTTGTACAATTTATCGCTAGTTTCCTCTAAGCTCGTAAGCCGCCGGTACATATTATTGTTGTTTGTGTTACCTTTTTTTATATTGTTTGATAAGTTCACTTTTCACTGGAACTCACAAGCGCGTCTCAACAATCAGCGTACCCAGCATGAAGCAACGACGAAGCAGCGCTCTGCCCGCAGAAGCAGCGCAGCTCATTTTGGCTCTCTTACTCTTTGTTTCGTTTTTTTCGTTTCTTTCACTACTGGTGAGACGTGCCCCCGAACTAGTCGCTGGGTGGTACGGGTGGGTTGTAGATGTAAAATATTTTCTACCTTTGAGTGGTCCGCGTCGCTCCATGGGTACTCGGTGGGTACCCAGTACGGACCAGCGTAGTGGTAGCGGGGGCAACGCCACCGCCAGTACTACAGGGTTGTATTGTGTGCATGTC